TCCTCGAAGGGTTATGGCGCACGTTCGAATCAAAGATGACCCAGTTGGAATTTGATGGATTGTCCCCATGTGTCCCCCCATGAACAAGACGTATCAGCGTGTTGATCACCCTGGCAATATGCGGCGGGGTACAATGCACTGATTGCGGTGGTCTTCCATAGGTGGTGTGACTGGAGAGGCCATCCACACTGAAGGTCAACTGTGGGTGTTGTTGAGTCGTGAGGATTTCTCCCGGGACTGCGGTCCCCGAACCCGAACGTGCTCGGAACGCGCCGTCATCAACAGTCTCTACTCCCAGATGAGGATTCGAGGCTGTGGGACACGGGGTGACCACACCAGGCTCAGGATCAACGATGATCCACGAGGTGGATACACCATGCGAATTAGACGGTACCTGCGGGGCAGGTGATCCGATGTGATATTGAAAACACGCCCTTCAACCCATCGGTCAAAACCATCGTGTTGTTCCAGTGGTGTGGCCCGATCTTCGACTTGTTCCCATCGTCCATGAACCAATATCCATGTGCTACGAGGAACATCATGAGGGAGATAAAGTCCATGTGGGCACTTGCGGAAGAATCTAGGATGCTTGACCACGAGAATTGGATCCATCCCTGGTAGCTGTTGCACCTGTTCTATACGATTTCTTCTGTCCTTACTTTCGTTAGTTCCGGGGTGAAACATTGGAAGCAACATTAACTAACACCGTTTGGTTGACTTGAGGAAAAACGGGATCCGGCTCACAATGACTCAACGGAATCATAGTATCCTGGTCCTGGCACGCACTGGTTTTTTTCCCTATGTGAGTTGGCCGTGGTGGCTTGGAATCAAATTTGTTTTTGTTAGTGGGAAAAAAGTCACAGGGTCAGCACAAGCGCACTTGTTTTTCTTTCAATGCCAATCTCCTGCGTGTCTGCGCGTATTTTGCGCCATGCGTTTACCGCTTCTTCCCATGTTGGCAGCCTGGCTCTAACGCTTCCAAGCGGGCCTCTGCTTCTGCCATCCTTTGCGCCCCAATGGAAAATGGAGTCTTATGTCAAAATCGCTGCTGCGCTCTCCGCTTGTTTTTTTGTTTTAGCGCTTGCTTCTCTTGTGTGCTGCGGCTGGTTCCGCTTCTTGGGTCCGCTTTCCTTTTTTGGTATCGGCTTTGGCCTTTGCTTTGGCCTCTGCTTTGGCAGCTGCGGAGCTTTTGGGTTCCTCCGCCTTCCCTTTTGCCTTTTGGTGTTTCCTGCGTGTCTTCGACGCGCCGCTGTTTGCACTGCTCTGTTTCCTCCTTGCGCTTTGCCTTGGGCTCGGGCTTGTTCTCACCAGCGCCATGCTCTGCAGGGGCGTCCTCCGCTAGCTTGGCTGCGGTGCCAGGATCCTGCGTGGGTGTCTCTTCTTTCTTGTTTGCATTGGCCGCAATGCTTCCACTGCTTCTGCTGGGCTCGTTCCTTTCCATTGCTTTCTCTCGGGTTCGCTTTTCGGGGCGCTGGCAGCCAAATGTTCTGAGTCTGAGCCATCTTCTTTTCTCCCTGGCCATCATGGACCTTGGTTGGCTGGCTTTGCGTCGTCTCTTGAGGTGCGGTCTTTTCCGCATCTTTCTTTGGGCTCTCTGCAGCGGCGTCCTTCTCCTGGTCTTTTCCCTGGCCTTGCTCTTTCTTGTCTTCCACAGCAGCATCTGGGCCGCCGCTCTTCGGCACGGTGTCTGCCGCTGGCTTCACTTCGGAAACGTGTTTTTTGGATTCATTATTGTCTGCGTCTGCAGCAGCGTCGCCTGTGGCCACACGCCCCTCCTGAGCTTGGTCAGCTTCAGCTTCGGCTTCGGACTCGTTGCTTGCTGGTCGCTGCGTCTGTCTGTCTGGCTGTCTGTCTGTCTGCCTGTCTGCCTGTCTGCCTGCCTGCCTGTCTGCCTGTCTGCCTGTCTGCCTGCCTGCCTGCCTGCCTACCTGCCTGCCTGCCTGCCTGTCTGCCTGCCTGCCTGTCTGCCTGCCTGTCTGCCTGCTTGCCTGTCTGTCTGTCTGTCTGTCTGTCTGTCTGTCTGTCTGTCTCTCTCTCTGTCTGTCTCTCTCTGTGTCTGTCTCTCTCTCTCTCTGTATGTCTCTCTCTCTCTGTCTCTCTCTCTGTCTGTCTGTCTCTCTCTGTCTGTCTGTCTGACAATCTGTCTATCTGTGTGTCTGACTTTCTATCTGTCTGCCTGACTGGCTGGCTGTCTGACTATCTGTCTGTCTTCCTGTCTATCCATCTGTCTGTCTGTCTGACAGTCCATCTGTCTGTCTGTCTGACAGTCCATCTGTCTGTCTGTCTGTCTGACTATCTATCTGTCTGTCTGTCTGACTCTCTATCTGTCCTGTCTGACTGTCTGACTATCTGTGCGCTTTGACACTTTTGACTTCCAAATGTGCTTCGTGCGCAGGCGACGTGCCATTTTTTAAAGTTGCGTCTTGAAAAAGTGCTCCGAGACCGTAGGGTTTTGACGATTTTGACTTGCAAATGTGCTTCGCGCGTTGGCGGCGTGCCATTGTTTGAAGTTGCATCTTGAAAAAGTGCTCCAAGACCGTAGTGCTTTGACGATTTTGACTTCCAAATGTGCTTCGCGCGCAGGCGGCGTGCCATGTTTGGAAGTTGCATCCTCCAAAAGTGTTCCGAGACCGTAGCGTTTTGACGATTTTGACTTCCAAATGCGCTTCGCGCGCAGGCGGCGTGCCATTTTGTGAAGTTGCATCTTCAAAAAGCACTCCGAGACCGTAGCGTTTTGACGTTTTTGACTTCCAAATGTGCTTCGCGCGCAGGCGGCGTGCCATTTTTTGAAGTTGCAAAAGTACTCCGAGACCGTAGTGCTTTGACGATTTTGACTTGCAAATGTGCTTCGCGCGTTGGCGGCGTGCCATTTTTGGAAGTTGCATCTTCCAAAAGTGTTCCGAGACCGTAGAGTTTTGACGATTTTGACTTCCAGATGTGCTTCGCGCGCAGGAGGCGTGCCATGTTTGGCAGCCCTTCCGCCAAATGGCTCCGCACCCGCCGCTTTAGCGAGCCTACCTTTCGGATCATCAGGACGCAGAATCCACGGTAAAACACATCATTTCGCGCATTTTCTATCATTCACGGGCACACATCTCTTCTGTCTGACTGATGGTGGCTGCTCAACTGTCCATATTGTCGGAAGTTTGACTTCTAAACTTCCTTTGATAATTTGTGAATATGTTAATAGATTATTATATAAAATGCACTGATATAAAATGATATACATTACATAATATCATATAATATCATTCATGTCAGAATGATATGATTATATGCTTTGTTACTGATTTTATCTGATCAAATATGCTTATGTAGTGGCATGTATACCGACAATGAAGTACAATGATCTACAGATAGATATGGTGGTATATGACTAGTCATCAACTGCCAATATGCCATGCAATCATATTAAGCCAAGGTTTTTCTTTGACATATTTCCAGTTCATATTTGAAAAAAAATATATATATATACAACATGGCAGAGTTATCATGCCATGTAGTAGTTCAATGCACTGTGAATGCACTGTGAATGCACTGTGAATGCACTGTGAATGCACTGTGAATGCACTGTGAATGCACTGTGAATGCACTGTGAATGCACTGTGAACGACTGGGTTTCTTCATCAGTTTCAAACAGTATTCTTCATCTTACCCCTTATTGGATATTCTGAATCTATCTCTCTAACTTGGATGATAGGACCTTTAAGTTGTAGTGGTCTTCTGTGTCATTCCATATTACCAAAAAATGTGGAAAATATACATATAGAGATGCACCAAAATCTATCACCATACAGTAAATCGCAATCATTCAAAATATTCGTTGTGAAAACGAAATCTGCGCTGAACACTGCCAAATTGTTGATGTCCACACGATTCCACACATATGCATTGCGGATGGATGCGTATGGATGCTTCTGGATAGGGATGATATCGTATGATATCTTCAAAACGTACATGTGTATAAAATATAAGTACCTGACCTTGTTCAACAGCAACCATGTTTGGTATAAATCAGAAGTGCCTAACCTTGGTGTCAGACATGTGTCTACCAGCTGAAACCTGTATAACATGAAACACCCAAGGGTCTGTATAAAATAGGTACCCTGGACCTTGAGAAGTACAACCTGTATAAAACGCAGCCTCCAAACCATACCAAGCCCCACCTAAAATGCACAGGTAGTTCCAAGGAGGATACTAAATCATTGTAGGGTCACAACACAAATGTGTCCGTGTGTCCCGTGTCTGAGGCCGTCGCATGGGAATTGTTTGAGCTCCGACGATTCGTTTGGAAGATCCTGGAAATTTTGATACCATGAACGAGGATGAGTTGCAAATTCTGCTTGTTGAACATATATAGGGTTGCACATGGTTGCAACAAAACTATATATCCAAAAATTAGAAACATAATTTTAAAAAAAAAATCCGGATAGATATCCGGATAACATGTTCAATGTAAAGCCAATGAGTGTACCAACGTATGGCAGGTTCAACTATGCATTGAATCGCTCGTCAAAACAGAGGTGAAGGAAGAGCGTCAGGATAGCAGTCATCAGTGGGAACCTTTGGGCCGCACTGAACCAGCTTGCAGCCCTCCCCATGCGATTACGATGATGATATCAATAGATATCAATGGGGATTCGAAGATTGACTGTGGTTCGAAGATTATATGGTGGTTTCCATAAATAGGGGTACCCCCAATCATCCCAACATAGATGATTTTAGTACCAACAACCATTGATTAATGGTACCCCCATTTATGGAAACCACCATATGCTGATCAAGAAAGGATTCCATGCACTCGTCATGTTGACACATGCTACAGCGCATTGAGCAGCCGGCGATGAAGAAACCCTTCCAACTGCGCCTCGTCTGGTGCCAAGCACTGAGCAGCCCAGGCCTGGAGACAGGAAGGTGGGGTATCAAACAGGTACTAGGTGTCACACATTTGTTACACCCTCAACGTATCTCAACGTTGGTCCCTCGTGCTCGGCCGATGGCCCAAGGCTTCTTTTGCTCAGGCGCTCAGCCACTTCTGAACAGCTTCTTGAAGATCCTCTAAGCGCACTGCAGGCCCCACCAAGGTGGGCTCGTACAACACCACCCGGTAGAAAGCGAAGGCGGCACCAGCTCCACCATACCACATACTTTTGTAGGGTGGAAATTCGCCAGGTAATCCGATTTGAGCTTCCGGGCTGCCAACCAACTCAATGATTCCGGTGCCATTCTGTGCCAACAGCATATTGGCCAGTGCTCCACCATGCTCTCCGATAATCAGCTTGGCTTGCCGCACCTTCCGCACTTGCTCAAGGAAGTCTTCGCGGCCAGGGCAAAAGGTGAGCAACTGGAAATCGGACTTCGCCTCCACCAGGGCTCTGGTCACGGCCCCTACAGCCTCTGCCTCATTGGCCAACTGGCGACGCTCGCTGCATCGCAGCACAAAGACCACAGAGTCTTGCTTCGATTCGAAACCGGCGAAACCGGCATGTCTGGCTATGGCATCTGAAACTTCGGGACCCAGCTGGTAGCCCGGCAGGCGCCACCAATAATCGGCATAAATTCGAGTAGCTGTTTGCTCCAGAAAAGGCACATCAGCACCATCCGCTCGTGCTGTGCGCCACAGAGTCATGGTGCGGCCAGGTTTGACACAAAGCAGCTTGTGTGCTTCGAAGCTTGTGATGGGAATGTCCAGAAGCTTCTCTGGTGGAATGCCCATGCTCTGCAGCAGCTGCCCCTGAATCGGAGAGTAGATCACCAGCTTCATGTTGGAATCCCTCAAAAGCGGCAACACCGTCCAAGCTTGAGCCAAGAGATCGGTGAGGGAATGCTGGTACTCCATTCCTGGAGGTGTGCGTATGCTTGGAAGCACGAGGATGTCTTCGTCCACCATCTCCACAGACAACTCCTGCCATGCTGGATCATCCGGACAGCTTCCAGAGCAATGTCTGTATGCATCGTACCTGTGAGTACCATTCGTAGCCATGACCACTTTCGGCCTTGCGCTGAAACTAATGCAGCCATTCTCCAGAGGGGCAACATCAGCACGTAAGGCCACGTGCGGGTCGGTGATGAAATAATCTGGAGCCACATGGCAGGCGTAGTGTCTGTAGGCCTCGAGCACCGAGAGGTTCTGGGATACCAAAGTTGGAAACCGACGACCGATGTTGGCGCACTTCGAATCCAGCTCTTGCCACCGTGGTGGAAACTGCCGCAAAGTACTCCACAGCAGGGCGGTGGAAGTGTTCGAGCGAAGCTGCTCCTGAAAGAACTGGAGAGCCTGCGACCATCGTGGAAAGTGCCGGGTGATGGAAGTGTTCGAGCGCTGCAATAAGATCTGCGATTCGATTTGCTTCTCCACTTTGAGAGCGAGTTGCAGAAAGAAGTCGGAGCTGTGAGGATCGACAGGTTCGACAGGTTCGACAGGTTCAACACAAGTCTCAGAACTCACTCGGAAGATCAGAGTCGCCAGGACCCCCAAACCTCGCGTCTCATGGCAAGATATGCAAGTTCATGGCACGGTATCACGCTCGAGCCACGATGCAAAATCTTGGCTGCACAAAGCCCCCAGCGACCCTATAGGACTGAGCTCTCAAATCTCAAGGGTCAAATGAATTGCTGCGTTGACCATGATATTCAAGCTCTCTATAACCTTTGCAACCTACCGGAGATTCAGTCTCCGCAATAAATTGCTTCCTTTTCATGCGCCTGCAGCTTCTCTGCTGCTGTGCATGCCCGACGCACTCAAATTCTCCGGCTGACTTCCAGTATGTTCAAAGCCTTGGCAAGTCGACAGCACCCAAAATATTTGGAAGTTAATTTTCAAAAACTGAAGCTTGCTGAAGCTTGACATTTTGGTGGATTTCGGCTTTGCTGTGCCTTGAAACAATGTTGAAGTGGGGCCTCAGCTTATGTACCAGCCCCTACATGCTTGCCAGGCGTAAGCCTTTAAATTCCGGCTGTCAGGCGTAAGCTTTTAAACATGTAGAAATTAGGTCGCTTTTCTTTGATCTGCAATATGTGTAACCCAATGACGCAGCGAGAAGGCCACGATCAGCTTTTGAAAATCACACCGAAATTCAGCCCATCTCATCTTTTTGTGACACAGGCCACCACAGCGCAATGGCAGCAACACCCTATTCGGTGTCCTATGTCGCTACACTCAGCTGCGTTGGAACTCTTGTTGCGATGGCTGGGGACCGCACTTCGCTCTGACCAATTTCACATCTGCATCCACAAGAAACCCCGCCAAACCCCTTGGATCTTTCAAATCATAATGAGCCTGGCAGGCATCAATCAACAGATCTGCAGACACACGGAGTCAGAAAGCGCAAATGAAGTTTAGCAAGTCACCAGAAGCTCCTGGGCCTAATGCCTTCCGAAGTCGTTCTCTTCACACGACAATGCAACTAGCCAAACTCCCGAAGCTTGAGACATGCCACATGATATCTTTCCAAGTCAAGCTTGCCAACCAATAGAACAGAATTACTGGAATGACAGTGGTCTGAACCATCTAGAGTCTATTCCTTTCCCATTCCAGCACGCTCCTGGTGAATGTTTCACCATGTACAATACTTCAAAACACGGAAACATGTGCTCATCATTGCTGTTGCAGCTTCATGACCGAACATGTTCCAAGCATGTTACCAATTGCCAGTCCAATCTAGTTTACGACTTTAACCTAAACTAAAAACAAGGTGGGCCCCCAGCAGTATATAGGTTGGGCATAGCAACCCAACCCCCTATGACTGGGCTAGAAATCCCTCACCCCAGCGGCCTGTTTCAGCTCCTGTTGGGAGGCGAAGGGCTCCAACTCCCAAGGCAGCCAGGTCTTGGGATGCTGAAGGAGACCAGGCCACCTGAGTCAGGGCACATCAGGGCTGCTGACACCCTGCTGCAGTGCCATCCTGGCCCAACCCCCACGTGGGAACAGCATGATGCCATCCTGCACCACAAACACCTCGCATATTCGGGCTGGGGATCATCATTTTAAGCCAGGTTTGAAAGTGCAGCTGTCATTCCGGTTTTCCGGTTGCCTGACTTGTCCTTTTTGGCAATTGACACTTGTGAACACGACATGTTTAATAACAATAATAATGATAATACATGTGTGCAGGCCGAATCATTGCTGGACAACAACATCTGCAGCAGCAACGACAACAACGACAACAACGAGACCACCATCACTTCAATGACTACCAGCACCATCCAGCACTGAATCCAGCCACATCTCAATCATCACCAAGAACAACAACCTCTATTACCCACTGCCCAATCGACCAATCTACAATTAAACGGGTAGTATGTTCCTATTACAGGATTATCTCCGAAGGCTGTCGTGAGTTTTAAAGTATAACTTGAACCTACTCTGCTTACATCAGCGAGGCTATTCTGCTAACATCAACGAGGCAACACACCAGCAACAACTAAGGCTATCAGCAACCAGATTTGGATGGTTCGGATGGACATCCCTGGCTGCTATGCAATATTTTGAGACAATGGTCATGCAGCGCAACCAAATCCTCTACGGTGTCACAAGTTTCTCAAAAATCATCATGGATGCCATTCTGGAGGGTTTATTGGAGATCAGAAATGTAGGTTCAAGCTATTGTCACGGTAGTGCTCTGAACAGCTGGAGAACAACCATTCTTGAAGAAATTTGCTTGAAAAGCCAAGCATAAATCACCCATACCCCTTGTTTGTTTTCATCTTGGTTGCTTTACTGGCTATACGAACTTGGTGACTGAGCCAGTAGTCGCCATTTCATCGCTTGATGTTGCTTGGCTCTTCTCTCTAAGACCCCATTTGAAATATTTAATTAAGTGATACTCCCATCATCAAAACCATTGGCATTGGCCCACAAAAAGCACCTTTAAAAAACAAACAAACGTATTTGAAGCGCATTCCCCTGGCCCCCCCCGATGCGATGCCTTGGTGCATCCCCTGGCCGGCTCCAGCCCGTTCCCCCGGTGCCCTCCGCTGCGTGCCTCCATCATGGGCTCGTCGTAGGAGCGTTGCACCCACGCGGGCACCGAGCTCTGAGGCAGCGCCTCGAAGTTGGGAAGGTACGGCTTCAGGTCCTCACCGCGGATGCGGCCACTAGGCCACCGGGGATCGGCCGACAGGTGGTGGATGGTAGCACTTCGCCAGGGAGGTGTGGTGAATCATGTTTGTTGATTTGTTTTTTTTTCGAAAATGTTTCATGAAGAGGTCAGAAATGGCATTTAGTATGGTTGTGGATGTTGTAGTTAGTGATCATTGATCATGATGAAATTCTGAATGATGGTTCATAACCAACCAGCCGAAATCTCAACCAACAAGCCAGCCAGCAAATGACTAACAACAACGACATCAGGTCCTCATGATCCCTGTCATGATCAACAACAACAACAACAACCACAGCCACAACCACAACCACAACCACAGCCACAACAACAACGACAACAACAACAACAACGACGACAACAACAACAACAACAACAACAAAAACAAAAACAACAACAACAACAACAACCACAACAACAACAATACTACAACATCAACAAGAACAAGAACAACAACAACAACAACAACAACCACAACAACGACAACAACGACAACAACGGCAACAACAACAACAACGACAACGACAACGACAACAACCACAACAACGACAACAACCACAACAACGACAACAACGACAACAACGAGAACAACAACAACAACAACCACAACAACAACAACAATACTACAACATCAACAAGAAAAACAACAACAACAACCACAACCACAGCCACAGCCACAGCCACAACAACAACAACAACGACAACAACCACAACCACAACCACAACCACAGCCACAGCCACAGCCACAGCCACAGCCACAACAACAACAACAACGACAACAACGACAACAACAACAACAACGACAACAACAAAACCAACGACAACAACGACATCAACAAGAACAACAACAACAACGACAACAACAACAACGACGACAACAACAACAACAACGACAACAACAACAACGACAACAACAACAACAACAAGGACAACAACAACAACAACAACGACAACAACAACAACAACGACAACAACAACAACAACGACAACAACAACAACGACAACGACAACAACGACAACGACAACCCACAACCACAACAACAACAACGACGACAACAACAACAACAACAACAACAACCACAGCCACAACCACAGCCACAACAACAACGACAACAACAACAACAACGACGACAACAACAACAACAACAGCCACTGGGTGTGTCTGTTGCCATGCGCTGCCACTACGCGCCACTCATGCTGTGCTAACCCAGGCTCCAAGCATGGTGTCCCATCGATGACATCGAGGCCCGACAAGACCAAGATACCCTCGGAGGCCTCACAGTGGGGATAGCCTGGGTTAGCCATCAGTAAAGAACAGTAAGGCTGGCTGAGTAAGGCTTGAAACAACAAGTGCTGCCCATAGTGGAACTTGCGACGAAAAACCACTCATAGTAAGGCTTGGCTACCCATGATTTCATCAACCACAGCTTACCAATGCTACCAGTCATGCTTATATCAACTTCGTGTGATGGAAAAGATACTTAAAGTATGTTGGGCGTGTAGGTTGGCAACCTACAGCGCATAAAGGCAGCAGTGTGGGTGCACTTAGGGTATGTTGGGGGTGTAGGTTGACGACCTGCAGCGCATAAAGGCAGCGGTGTGGGTCCACCTCATCTCCTCCTGTTTGCCTCTCGCCTCCTTTCATCTCCTTTCCCTCACCCTTCTGTCAGCCCTGGGGCCCCCGACTCTCCATGACTGATGTGCACTTTCACCGGCGACGGTTTCACACCAGAAATCTGCAGGCGACTAACACTTCTTAGGAGGGGATGCTGATGAATTGGGCAGGCTGCGATTGAGGATCTCAACACCGCATCAGGCGCAAAGCTCCAGGCACTTTTTTCGCTGACAACCGGCAGCGCTGCATTTAACCCTGGACATCTGCAGCTGCCTTCTTGCCATAGCAGTCTTTGGTTGGCTATGAGTCAGCCCAAGAATTGACGCACTGTAAGAATCCCAACATTGGCAGGTTATCTCAAATTGAAGGCGCGGTTCCCAACAAATTATCTTAAACTATATCTTTAGAATATATAAATATATCTTTTAAATTGTATTTATTTAAAATTAGGATTTGCCATTTCAAAGTAATAATTTAAAGAGGTTCATGTTCAAATTTCAGCGCAACTTCCTTGAGGGCTTTCTGATCTGCGTTGGGCTTCTTCTTGAGCAGGGCAAGTCTGCCACGAATCCTTAGACTAGCACCAACAAAACACAACAAATGCACACATATAGGCCTGCAAGGAAGTACGTAAGAACGAATTAGTAAGAACAACCAAGTGCGACGGTTGCCTGAATTTGCCAAGGATCTCGATGAGGTCAGCAAATTCTTCGATCACATGGTACTCCGGCCAGTCATAGTTATGAATCAGAATACTTGTCTTGGATGCTGATTCTTGGTCCATTGCTAGCAGCAACTTTAAGAAGCAAGCCACTCGAAATCGTCCGTCCAGCAGTACCATGCGGTGTTTTGCTTGAGCGTGACACTTGCCAAATCCTTCATCGGAGTACTTGGGCCACAGTGCGAAGGTGGTGTTGTCGGCGGGATACCCCAATTTGCCTATCCTGGTTGCGGTTTCAGCCCCGCTGAAAAAAATAGTTAACCAATCAACCATTCCAAGTATTGGGGAAAAAAATGAAACCACCAACTAGTGAAACTAGTGTCTTTCCGATATCCACATGCTTCAGCTCTGCAATGCCTTGCTCAATTGCCTTCGCGACAGTCTCCTCCTTTGAGACAATTTCGATCCACTCCTGTGAGCTGTCAATCCCCTTGTAGCAGTGGAGGTTGGGGAATGTTGAGGCCATGGCTGTTGAGCCACCAACTCCAAATTCGAGATATGCATCAGCCTTGGAAAGCTCTTGCCGAAAGAAATGAATTTCTTCCGGTCTCATGAGTACCCTCATCTGCTTGAAGGCAGCTTCTGCCGCAATTGTCTGGTGCTTGCTCTCTTGGGTAAGTAAATGCGTCATGAGTAAAAGGTGCGCTTTGTTCTCGTGCATCTCCGTATTGAGTTGGAGCAAGGCTGATGCCTCGGACTCCTCTGGGAAGCTTTGCGTGGCACCTAGAAGGAAGACGACGGAGAGGCAAGTGATCTGCATCGGAAGGACCATCGCCATTTTCACGGTACATATCTACGGTAGGCAAGTTGAACAAAAGCTTAGCAGCGGCAAAAGCACAACAAGGTGCTGTATTGCATGTGAGACAGGAAGTACACCGACACCCACCAAGCCATCCCATCATGCATGTCACATGCGTCCAACCTACGTTTGATGCAAAATCAATGATCAATAGACATGCTTTATGAAGTCTTGGAAGTCAAGTTGTTGACGAGCCGGACGCCTTGTTTACAAGTCTGCTAGGCTGTATTTTGTGCAGTCGTTCAGTGTTGGATGCTATTCCAGACCCCCTTCTTGACCTGGTCAAAGTTGTTCACCTGTTCACCTATCTGATCAATTCGATCCATTCGATCGGCCCAAGCCTGATCCATGGCAAGCAGCTCAGCCTACAGCTCAAGCGAGGTGAAGGATGTTTAAGGGGAAGCTGCGACCAGCTGCCAAGGATCCGCTTAGTCTTTTTCTAAGTGTTTGCCAGATTGGAGTCGCAGGATCGGATTCCAAATTGGTGATATTGCACGCAGCAAGCAGGTACGCCATCCCGACCATCCCAAGCTGAAGTGTGTTTAAGCAGAGCCAAAGCATGACCAGAACATACTAGAACCGCACCATCCCAACCATCCCAAGCATCCCGACCATCGTGACCATCCCCAAGCAGATTCGAAGCACAACTATATATCCCCGCCATCCCCACCATCCGAAGCGGCAGCATGATAAAGCAGAGCCACACCATCCCAACCATCCCGACCATCCCGAACCAAGCATTTCGATGGACAAGCGACCATTGACGCCAAGCAAAAAACAGCAGAATTAAAGGACCGGATAACCCCACAAGTCAACTTCTTCCGATATCCACCAGTATACTTCTAGGTATACCATGGTATGCCGTTGTATGTCCACTACTAATGCCCAAATACCGACAATAGACCCCAAGCACCGAATCCCTGCACCTCCTTGACAGTGTTCTCTATTTCCACGCCGCAGGCTGGCTCCTTTTGACATGAGACCAGCTTGGCTGACTCTTGTGGGGGTTCAATGTTGCCGAGCAATCAGAGTCATGCATGCTGTCAAAGAAGTACACTAAGCCAAGGTCCGCGCACGGTTCGGAGCATGTGTGGACCAAATAGCCGTAATTGCCTGGGCTGACCATGCTGACTACATTTCTGCCTTCGAGTTTCAATGTCTGCCACAGCTTTAGATGCAACTTGGTGATCATGTGCATGCCTGGACAACTCGTACTTTTGTGGCCCAAAGCCCAAGGGACGAAGGGTTTTGATGCGCAACTGGGACCCGCATTTTGTCAAAACCTTGAAATTGTCCTTCACTTTGTCAAGTTTGTCTAAGATCCTCTTGAGGTCGCATGCAAAAGCAACCCGAGCAGCAGGCGAGGAATCAGGAACTCTGCAACCCCCACCATTACCGCTAAAAAATGCCCAAAATGGACGCAGCTAGAGCGAAAGTAAAGTGAAGATAGGACTTGAGAGCTTCAAGTTCCTGCGTTCAAGATAGCAACATAACCACAGATCCGGTTGCATCGCCAAAAAATGTGGTAAATGATGACTTTTTCGGGCAATAATCATAGCAACTAGATGGTTTTTCAAGTGGATCCAAGATACATTCCAGGGACAGCCGGACATGAAGAAACAGAACCAGGCACTGCCAGGCAACAAAATGAAGAGAACAAACGGAAGTTGTACCAAACACAGTACCTGAAGTACCACCAAAGTGCTTTGTTGTTTCCATGTTTCCATGTTTACATGCAGCTGCATTCAGACTGAGATAAGACTTTGGCATGAATGACATCTATACTTGCAAGACGCCACGCAGTAGGGCAGTTTTTGGTTCTCCATGTTCAGGCTCTGCTTCAAGCCTCTCCATGCTCTGTACAGCCCCTCAGAGAGGATGGGACCTCGTTTGAGACTAAAGCGATTCAGCTGTCACTTGCGTCACATGATTGTCATTGCATGGCCTTCGTGTAATCATGTCACTTGCTTCACTCATCGTCACTCTCACTCTCTTGACTAAGCTCCTCACTGAGGATCGCAATTTTCACGGACCTCCCCCTGGGCTGCCATCAGGATAGTCGAAAATCGAAAATGGTCTTGCAAGAAAGGAGAGTTGCTGGAAAACAGCAAGCATGACAAATGGAAGCACATGGAAGTTTTAAGTACGGGACAGTCGCGCTTGCCACACTGGCTGCTCCACTTCTGTGTGCCAAGAGTCCAATTCTTGAACTCCTGAAACTTGCAGAATGTCTGCATTGTGGCATACTGACTCATACTGACTGGTTGACGAAACATCATCGACTCTCACCAACTCTCACCTTGTCATCATATCTTACCCACAACTGTGAGCCTCCCTCTCCACATCTCTCCACATCTCTCCACATCTCTCCACATCTCTCCACATCTCTCCACATCTCTCCACATCTCTCCACATCTCTCCACCACGGCACCTGGACTTCCGCCTCTCAGCCTCTTGTAGCGGATGCCTTAATCAGTTCGAAGAACTTTGAAGAACTCAAGTTCCATCTTCCAGCTGTCATTCCTTGTCATGCTGGGTACCTGTTGGGTATCTCAAGTTATCTCAAATTATCTCCTGCTTGACATCAAAAGTCTTTACCTGCCGACATGAACTTGTTCAGGCGGTCACGTAGGATCATCCACTTTCAGCCACGGAGTCTCATCCTTTGCTATGCGTAAGACTGACACTTCTGACACGAAACGAAATCGCTGGAGCATCGTTTGTCTATCTTTTGATCATTTTGATCATTTTGATCATTTGCAGGATGGTCTGTCTGCTGACATGTTCTCCCACGCCTGCACTCGAGGAGATGGAAATCGCTTCCCATCCAGCCAGGGAGCATCAGCAAGGGTAGTCCAAATAGGAATCGGTGTGTCCTCACACAGCAAAGTTCGACGAATGTGTCCATTTGTCAATTCCTCCAGATATCTTCAGATATCTGCAGTTATCTCCAGATGTTTTTGATGATACAGACATCTGCGTCAGGTTGCTAAAATCAGGCAAAACTACGACAGCCGGGCCCCAGTAGGTCCTGCCCAAAAAGTGGCAAACGAATTCCATCTGGAAAGCTGTCGCCGATACACTTGGCCGGTCGCAGGCCTGCAGTGGTCAAATACCCCAAATGATTCATCCTTGCTTGACAAACTGATTCAACGTGATTCAACATGATTCAACTCCGTCAGTTGTTTCTGAAAGAAGGCAAGAAAGCAACACCTAGCAACCAGGCACAAACACACACAATCCGTCACAACATGTCACAACCCTACTTGTTACACTTTGCCTGCTGGGATTGAAGATACCAGCGTACCACCTCACAAAAGCTATGCCAGCTTCCGGGATCTTCTCAAATGTCCGGTCGACCTTTGAAGAACCAAAATATTGTTATGATATTCAAAATTATTCAAATATTACATAATATTACTGTATTTCAATAATTTTCAAAATGTATTTCAACTAAGTCTTCATTCCTTGACACTTTATTTCACAATGCAATCAAGGCTTGACATGAGTCATCGCTCTTTTTCGCAAGGTCAATGAGTCAATGAAACGAAGAAAACCTTCGACTTTCTGTACAGGTGAAGTCCCCTCAAACCTTCGGCCGCCAAATCCGCTGTCCTTGCAAAGCACAAGAGTCAAACCTCCAATAAAATGTCCATGGTTGAACCACTTGACGACTTTTAAAGCAGCAAAAGATGGTTGTTTGATGTTGTTTGTTTCCCTTTGGTCCTGATCCTCGGCCTCCACTTCCTTTCGCTGGTAGTGGTTGGTAGTAAGACTTCTTCTCGTCACTCCTTGAAATCGAATCTGCGCCTTTTGGCGCTTTCTTTGTTTCTTTGTCTCCTGCGTCGCCGTTTCTTTCTTTCGTTTCCTTCGTCTCTTTCATTCTGTACCTGCTATTCTCCTTGGATTCTGTAGCTGTGCTTCTCAGTCCATTTTTGCCTCTTCCGAAGCCGCGGGGTCGGGCAGTCTCTGTGAAAATCTCTGCATCGACCGGCTGTGTCGTCGTTTCTTTCGTCGAAGCAGCTGCAGTCTTTGGCGCTGCTATGCTGGTTTCCATCTCGACCGTCAGTTGGATCGGTTCATGTGTTTCGGGTCCCTCTGACACCGCTGCTTGGCTTGCACTTGCCTGGCGTGCTGCGATTTCTTCGACTGTGGAGCTTTTGGTGGGACCTCAGTCGCAACTGCCCGGTCTGGAAACAGTTCAGCACCTGATTCGCTTGGGAATAGGAAACAAATGACGACCATGGACCATTGCTTTGATATGCGTTGATACTGTTCAGCACCAAGTTCCCGGCGTTCACCTTGAACTGCGCCACCTTCTGAAGGCGCTGACATGTTGACAATGTCTGAGGCTCTCCGAGAGATGCTTTGTAAGGAAAAATGCTGCAACTCTTCAAAGGTGCCCACCACGAGAGACGCTCCGTCAACGAACTCAGCACCGAAGTTCTCTTCGACTTCGTCTTCGCTGAGATCGACCAACAAGCGACGCTCAATGGCCACGATGATGTCGCCGGACCGGAGACTCTGCTCGGGCTCAGCGAAGCAATCGTTCACCAAATAGCCTTCACTGAAAGGGTAACAACGGTAACAAGTTGACAACAAGGAAAGCTGACACGAAAACCAAAGCAACAGCTAAAGGCCACAGTTCTCAAGTCCTCCAGGAAATGATGCTGGCAAGGTGACAGTGCCAAGAGGACAGTGTTGCCACGGGGAAGAGAACAAAAGTAAAAGAAATCGAGTTACAATTTCACCCTGGGCTTGACTGTTCTGGACTAAAACCGTGCACTTTTCCCGGCTTTTCCTACAGAGCCCAACAACGACGCTTAGGGAAAGACAAATCAGTCACAAGTGCTCCAATCACCAGCCTGCACCACATGCCTCCAGCTCCTTAGAACTGTGGAAAAGTAGCCGCGAATGAAAGGAAACATATTGAAAATTATTGAAACCATCTGCAAAACATCAAGAACACATCAAACCGTTCTGAAACCATGGTATAATGTGGGATTAGATGGGATTGGATGGCATTTTGATAGATTCGGGGGGGTTATCATTTTAAGACAAACCCAAATGGTCCACTAAACATACCGCCTGAATGGTGGCAGGATATTTTTTCCGACCCCAAGAGATGGGCAGATGCGAAAACACGTCTTTTTTCAAAGACTTCAACCAGGTGTAACTGTCAGGATCGGTCAGGATCGGTCAGGTCTGAGGATGCATCCAAGCCAGCTCCCAAGTCACGCTCCACACGCAAACGGCAAGTACGAAGCGCTTTCTCCGGAAGCGGCTCTTCCTGGAGAGGGAAATACGATGAAATATGTGCCATGTGCAAAAGAGAGATGGTCATCATTTCTGATACCTTCCTTGTCCGCAGTGAAAGCAAAATTTGCACGCATAAAGTGTGTGCTATAGTGTTTTGAAAGAGAATAATTGTCTTGCTTCCAAGACTGGGACATAGAAGCGCAAAGAACACATCTCGGTACATCTACAGGGCGAGGTGTGGTACGATGCTGCCAAGGAAGGTACAACATGGTACAACCACATGTTTGATTGTCACACTTGCACAATTTGCACTCCTCTGTGGAGGGCATCTCTCCCTGAAGTTCCTCCTTCCACCGTCGCTGTCTCTCTTCTCGAGCTTTCAAACGCTCTTCTCGATGCTTTTTCTTCTCATCACTGATGGGGAAGTCGGATGGTGGTACAACCCGCAGCTGCAAAAAACAGTCGAACATCGCATCGATCTCAAAGGTGGACGCCTCTCTGGTGGCGACTTTTGCAGCAGCCTCCAGTAGGGCATGGCTTGGCCTCGTTGTCTTGGCAGCCCGCTTTGTACAAATATGGGCAAATGATCAAATGTGGAGCAAAGATCAAAGTGCCATGTGCCATGGTTTGTTCCGAAACTCCGGTTTTGATTTCTGATGTCTGATCTACTTCTGGTGATCTTTGATGCATCGCCAGGTATAACCAGGGTGATAGCGACACTTGGAATCCATGGTTCGCCAGGAAACCAGCGAGCACGAGCTGCAGCTTGCAGCAAGCGCCGCATCAAAGTGGCGCTCAGCTCTCCTGAAATAGCGCCATTGGCACGACTCAGCACAAGCAATAGCTATCAGCAACTATAATCCAAGCATTCCTAGCTTTAATCCAAACTATGATAAACTATACATTATTATTATATATTATATATAATAACTATATTTCTTGATATTTCTTGCACCAGCTTGAGACCATTGGAATCCATTGGATTATTTCTGGAGACGGTGGGACCACTGCAGCATTTGGCGGGAAGCTTTGGACGGCCTGAAGACTCAGGTTTGCAATGAGACGGAGAGATAGGAACTGGTGGTGGGAAACGTGGGAACTGCTGGGAACTGCTGGGAACCAGGACGGGAACCACAGAAACTCCCAGGAACCGCTCCTTGGCGCTCCAGCAACTGCTTCGCTAACTCTTCTCGAAGGCCCTCGGGACCAAAGCCTTGCCGCGAATCCACGTACGCCGAGAAGAGCAGAACCAGCGCCTGCACGACGCGCACGACGCTGACGGGTCTAAGGCACGGCCCATAGGTATCTCAGGTACCCGTAAACAACCCATAACACCATTGTGACACCATTGTAGATTGCCATCCAAAAATACCAGGTTGTGGCTGCAAATCAGAAAATGTGATCAAGACACGAATGATTTTTTCTGTATGACTTCTGACTACCCCTGTGAAAAATGACCAGTTGCATATGAAGGGCTCGAAGGGTGCCAAGAAAAGCCGCCAGACAAGTCTATACAAGTTGCGCAAAAAGATTGAGAAGCGATACAAGGCATGGATGTGATTGGACACAAACATCACCAGATGTCCGCGCAATTGAGATACTTCACATTGCTTCACCCAATGAAAACGAGTTCAGAAATCAAAAGAATCTGAAGACTCGCAAAGAGGGCACATGATTCATTATATTTCATGTGTAGAAGTGGAAGCAAAGTCAGTGCTAAGGCTAATGTCTTAACATGTCCTATTAACAAGTCCTAACGAATCTTAACATCGTCTGGACATTGTTCAGATTCATAGCTTCCCATCTGAACGTAACGCACCACCATGCACCACCTCCACAGATGGGATCGCTTTCTCACAGCGGCTGGGCACCACATCCAGCAGCAGCGTGTGCCGTGCACGGACGCGGGCGAAGGCATCGGCCAGTTCCGCCAGCTGCCGCAGCGTCCACTGATCTAAGCGCCGCAGCACGCAATCGCCAACGGCCTCTGCCAACGCTTCACATCTTCACATCTTCATAACTTTTGAATCTGCGTTGATGATAATGATATGTCAACATCCTTGATCTATTGTCCTGGAGAGGAACTGACTACGTTGTCCTATCTGAACAAGCCTCCAGAATTTCTTTTCTTTTGCAAACGTGCCTGTATGACTCACACATCTTGGCGTGCACAGGACAGTTTGTACATGCAAGCTACAATGGTTCGAAGAACCAAGTCCTCTGCGGAACACTGAGGCGTGGACGAAAAAGAGCGTTTCGATTGCCTCAGGAAAACATGAATGCTTCAAGAAGTCACCAGGGCATATGTCTCTTGCAGAGAAAGCGCAGACTCTTTCAAACAGTCCAAAAGCAAACACTATTGCCAACACAGATTGTAGGGAAATAGACACAGGAGTCTATCCCCAGTCCCAGGTGCAATATTCGCACAAGCAAACGCGGTCATCATGGTCGTCAAGACTTTGGGCTCCATCCGATCCATCCGCGCCATAATCAGCCTGCTGCCCTCGGCGCTCGATTCACGAGTTTTCCAAAGATTTCACCGTAAAAAATTGATCAACTCCGATATTCCAAGAGACCTCACTGCAACATACTGCCATGCGCAGAACCAGTGATAAATAGTGATAGTCAATGTCATTCATACTTCAAATGTCCACCATTTACAGACAATGAATCCTTCATTGATGTGTCCGCTGCGCCTCCTGAAAGATGACCTCATCACATCGTCTGGCTCTCGAAAATCCTTCCAAGAGGGAGGCAGCCTCGCGTGCGCCGTGGGTTTTTTTTCACGGTGTTACACCGGCAACACGTCAGACATCAGAACATCTTCTATAGATTCATCACTTCATATAACTTCATAACGTCCTCTCGTTTTGATAAAAGCTTTGACAAGGGCCCTCAGTCCGCTTCCACGCTGACACTCCAAATGTATCCCATCAACGATCAAAAGATCAGACAAAATATGACAAAATATACAAATATCATCATAACCCATCAAATATCAGCTGATTATCAGCTAATGCACAAAGTAAACATGGCATGAGCCTCGGAGTCTGCAAAGCTCCACAGCCCGGAGCGTCGAACGACTTGTCCGAGGCAACGGAAGATCTCCGGGTGGCGTAAGCCCAGCCGAGCCATGCCCAGTGCCAAGCTCCTCAGCGTATGTCACAAAAGTGTCGCTAGGTATATCTGAGATGTCGGAGATGGCACATCCACTGTGGATTGGCAACACATGGCAACACCTCTATAGCCTCTATAGTCCTATAGTCATACTATATGTCTCTATTGTCTCTATATGTCTCTTTTTGGAAATGCCTTCGGTGCATCTGTTTCAAGATCAGTCAAGGCACGCCAGCGTGGCTGGAGCTAAGGTGACTTGGGACTCGTTGATGGCCTCCAAGTCCTCCCACAGGTCCTTCGCACACGTCAAACACCACGGCCGTTCACCCAAGTGCACACGTGTCAGTAAATCTGCAGTATAAAGTGTCTCATATCTATGCAACTAACTGATCATAACACTTGTTCATACTTGTTGTATTTTTACATATCCTATCATATTTGTAGTATTTTTTTACTTTAATATGTTCTTTTTCTATCCAACCATACGCAGCCCTCAGACGCCAACATTTTGACCCCTGGTTCCGTATCGTTGGGTCCTTCAAGAGCTCCTCCACCCGTGGGTCGCGAACGCATTCCGCGTGGCGGTCCAAAGAAGCCAAGCGGGTGATGGCAACGACACGGTTGGAGGTGCCTGCAGTTTCACCAGTTTCACCACACGGTTTCCAGGGTTCCAACATGTTCCAACATGTTCCAACCAATAAATGTGACGTGTTTACATCCTAGGTATGTGTTTTAGATTGTTTTAGTATTTCCAACCATGGTGTGTTTATTTGCATCTATTTGGTTTAATTCGGTTAGTTTACTACCACTGGGCGAACTTGCAATGATGGCTGTCCCCTATATTCATCCAGTGAGGTAAAAGAAAAGAGTTTCTCCGAAATTTCTTCAGAGAGGTGCTAAGCAGACCTTTTTCCTCCTTCACGATGCTCAGGACCTTCTCCTGCGTCGTGGGAGGTTTGCCAGAAACACCACCAGAGCAATACCAAAAATACTATAATTGATACATAATATACAATAACTATATATATGTATAGTATATAATGTGTACATATAATATATAATGATATATAATGTAAATCTGAACAGCACATCCCAACGGGGTCCCAACACATGGCTCCTGCGAGGTGGCTCGCTTCAGATTCTGATGCAGTCGTTGATGCACTTTGGTCAATTCCTTGTTCTCGAAGAAACCGCGTTCGTCGACTTGGACGGGTTTGGGCTTCGACAAGAAGCGCGAAGAATCGACCACGGTGGCCTTGCGCTTTTTGAACTTGGTACCCCAACCCGAGTACGCAGGAAAGACATAGCCTGCGGCCGCAGCATTTGCCCAGGGATCACCTTAGTGGCCGAACGCCATTTTCATCCATTTTCATATGCATTGAATATGCATTGAATTGTCATTTCAACATCTCGTCATTTTGCTCGGGCTTGGTGCATGGCTGTCACACTTCGAGTTGCTAAGCCCGGGGCCCCCTGGTTGGTTCAACGGATCGGGCCGGTACTCGTCGGCTGTGACACGGAAGCGGTGCCGCTTGCCACGAGGAATGCCAGCAGGGGAAGTCACCAAAATGGAACCAACACTTCCCACACTGGTGCGATCTCCGTCTTTCCAGGGTCGCAACAAACGATTCGTTGCACGGCGCACGTGTTCCAAGGGCATCTTTTGCAACAGCTCCATGGGTCCCACGATGGTCAAAGCACCTCGGCTTGGTGGATCAACTGCAATCAACGCCTTTATCATACACTACTGTTACTATCTGTTACTATCTGTTACTATATAAACCAAAGTTTTCCTAATGATCAGGTTTCAGGAAGTCATGAGACAACCAAATGAGATGGGACAAGTCGCCGTTTTCGAAGTGTTTGCCAAACTCCTCCTCCATTTTGGCCTCTGAAAGACCAATGAGTTGCTCCTGACTCCATGGAAAAAAAACACATTGAAAGCTGTAAAAAGCCCAAATCTCTGTATATCTCCATCTCCCAGCTACATTCTTCAGATCATTTATTTTGTCCAAATGGATCCAAATGGTTCTAATGTGGGTAAAACATGGTAAAACAATGTCATAAACCACCCAGTTGGGAATTGAGAATGGTTTATACCACCTATAAAAATGGTGACTGGGGGATGGTGCACATGGCATTGTTTTACCCACCTCCGACCGGAATCTCCTCCCCGATGGCCACGATCACATCGCCCGCGCGGATGTCCGGCTGACCGGGCCAGTCTTCCAGCTCCTCAACGAGGTATCCAGCCTCGACAACGGAAAATGACGAAACAAACACAAAAAGATCAATGAAAACCCGGACAAACTCACTAAACTCTGTATAAATCTGTATAAATGTGTAAGATCTATGTCATCTATGTATATCTGTGTCATTTGTCTCTCGAAATCATGATCAGGATCGTCAGGATGTCACATGGTGTCGGTGCATAGCAACTCCCAGCCTCGCAAGCCGAGAGCTGCAGTCCAGCACCTGCATGTTGATCCACGCGGAGTTTGGCGGTCCGCACAGGACCTGCAAAACACCGTGTCCGTGTCCAACATGGTGTGAGACAACCAATATGGCCCAACATGCTTTGATGGGTTCCCTGGGACCACTGGGACCACCACAAAAGTAGAAAGCCATAGAAAGCCCTTTGTCAAACTGGATCCTTTTGGCCTTTTGGAGATTTCAGCACAAATTGCTTTGCCAAGATGAATCTGATGAATCTCAGAGACACTCTGTGAGAATCAGCACCTGCAGCAAGACTCACATCGAGATTGGGTTCCGCCACCATGATGGTCCGGTCATGGAAGTGCTCCAATTGCAAACAGGGATAGTAGCCATCACGGCTCGATCCAATCATATCCTCCGCTTTTCAACTTTTAATTTGACTGGTGAAAGAAAGCAAGGGAAGTGCAAATACCATCCAATACCATCCAATGCCATCGAACGCCTTAAACACTGTGCAATATTGCTAAGTATATCTAAGAATGTCAAATCACCTCCTCTTTGTTTCACCCATTGTTGCTGCCTCAAGGTGTTTTCCACATGTAACCCATCAAATGAAAAGTGATGTGGAAATAGAAACCTAGGCAGAGAAATGCCGATGCCAAGACGTGCCAAGACGTGCCAAGCATCCAGCAGCTCGAACTCCGTGCAGATCTGAGTGCCGAAGAACACGTCTCTCCAAGCGTCCAAATCATCAGAAGCGAGGCGCAACGATCGAAACTTCCGCCTCGGTGCGAGTCCATCGAGTTTCAGTGAGTTTCATCACGTATCATCATTGTTCATCATTTTTCATCTGTTCAATTTCAATTTGTTCCTTCATGAAAGCTCCCTTTTCTACCAATGTTTGCGATACATTGGAATGTGATCCTCGTACGTCTGATTCCGCAATCGCAGGAGGCATGGCCATTTTTCTGCGCAGTTCGCATAGTTCCAGCGTATAGGATGTTGTTTTATGGTGTTTTACCCCCCCCTTCTGGCGTTGTGGGAATTCACTGAAAGTTCATAGATGGAATTTAATGGGAATATGGGATAGATAACCGAAAGGTAATGGATTTCGGTTTAGTAGATATCCAACGATGGTAGTTCTGCATTTCAGTAGATTTCAGTAGCATCCACGTCCTGTGTCGAAACCTTCAACCGCGACACTTGTCCAAGTCTGATTTGGCGTGGGCCAACGCCTGGCGAAAAAATCACGCCACTGACACCATGGGAACCGTCGTCAGATGTCGTCAGACGAACAAAATGTTTCGGATACAGCTCGATTCAGCTTGATTCGGAATGATTCGGAATGATTCGGAATGATGTCAATTGATGGGCAATGCCTTGTGAATGTCTGTTGCTTCAGATGGTTCAGATGTTTCAACGACATGACGGCAAGGCTTTCGAGACCTTGATGAAGGATGCATGAGCCTGGAGATTTGAACTCTTGTAATATTGAAACTTGGATAAACTTGGATAAAATATGATAGAATGATTGGATTTCAGACAGGTTTTTTCTCTCAGCTTTCAAAGTTGTGATATCAATTCTGCAAACACAGCATGCGAGGCTCTGGCATCCTTTTGTACATACATTAACAATACATTGTACATCATTGTATGCTGTCTTGGTCTGAAACGGGCCTTGAAGTCATGTGGTTCTTCTCCCTCTTCCAACCACGACTTGGCACTTTCGTCCAAGACTGGAAAGCCATGTCGCATAAAGGAGCTCGACAGAGCATCATGGATCGCCTGCAACATGTCGTGAGGCTCTGTGCGAAGCCTGGTGAAGAGAATCCTTAGCGAAATTGCAGCACTCAAGCTCTTTGAATCAAGATATTTGAGAAAACCATAGAAAACCAGGAGACTTCACAGATACTTAACACATACTTCGGCAATTTTGTAGTTCTTGCAGCTTCATTCTGATTCCATGTTCAGCTTCGATTTGTCCACTGAATTGGTGCAAGTCTCTGGCCATTGAAACAACTAATGCCACTGGCGATGATCTTCACAGGCTGATCCCCGAGAAAGTCTCTGATCTCTTCTCCTGCTTCATGGCAAGCCTTCGGAACACTCAGATCTGGACCTCAACAGCCTCAACAGCCTCAATAGCCTCAATAGCCTCAATACCTCAATCATCCTCCATCCCAAATCTTCCCAGACCATCTCAAAATATGGAATCAGTATGGAATCCTCAACACTGAAATCATATAGATACACTGAATACACTGAGGATATGAAATACACTCATCTTAAAATTTAACTATTTTGAATTTGAAGATCACAATTTTATGGGCCCGCCTCTTGGGCCTCGCCACGACGCTCAGGAGGGATCGCCTCCAGCGATCGGCGAATCGGAAAGCACTGTGCAATGGCGATGAGTCAGGGCTGATGGGCTGATGATTTCAGGATCTTTATGGATCTTTTATGATTTATATGTATACTGTGTATATGTGTATATATATATATATGTGTGTGTAACAATTATATAATTATATATGTATATATCTGTGTTTTATATGTCTTATAATGTTTTATATATGTTTATGGCCTTTTGATGCCTTTTGTCAGTTCTGAACTAGCATCATCTAAGTCCTGCGCCGTGAGAAGCAAGGAACTGTGCAAACGCCTTAGCCAAGTTGTCATAGATCAGAAAGGGTTAGAAACGGGTGAGGATACAGATCACAGGGACTGGCGAGTCTAACAACACTCCTGAAGAATGAAGAGCAAGGGAGAGGGAGGCCGGATAATTACGCTCCAAAGGATCTCAATTTGGATTCAAGCTTCATCAAGTTTCCTTGTCAGATGTGAACAGTTTGTACGTCAGTATGAAGGGTGCCTTTTCATTACCGAGACTTTACTTGAGATAAAAGGCAAGCCGTTGGAAGCTGAAACAAACAGTCGCCCCTCCAAGAGGACCTGCAAAAACCCATCTAAAACTGAAATAGCAATTGATACAAAATCTATATTGTATCATATCATATCATACCATATCGTATCGTATCACATCACATCACATCACATCATATCATATCATATGATGTAATATGGAATCGTATCTTACTACATAAATATCTATGTCTATATATGTTCTATTAGACTGTTAATATAAGGTGATTCAAAGTAGGTTCCCGTTCTCCCCTGTCCCTCTGTCCCAGCCTCACAGGCACCAGGCACTGCTCAAACAACGGGTTTTTTGCAATGAACCACTGCTGCATCTGCTGCACATTTCGACGGATCCTCGTCAAGGGGGGAAGTGGTAAAGCATATTCACTAGCAAAATTGTCAAGTGAATACCAAAAATACCAAGTTGTTTTGGGGTTCAGGGTCAACACTAACTTGAGAGGGGGAACACGAAAGGTAGGTAAGCAAGAAAGGAACCGAAGAAAAAATGAAGGGGAGAGGGGAGGGAAAAATACATAAAGTGGAGTCTGGTAAAAGCGACGCGGCCATTTTCTTTCCAAAAATATGAAGGGGAGTCTGGTAAAAGCGACTGAAAGGCTTCGGCGATGTGGTTGGGGTTGGTGGTGGTTGTGGTGTTGGTGGTGTTGGTGGTGCTGGTGGTGTTGGTGTTGTTGGTGTTGTTGGTATTGTTGTTGTTGGTGTTGTTGGTGGTGGTAGTGTTTCTGGTGTTGTTAGTGTTGTTAGTGTTGTTGGTGTGGTTGGGTTTGTTGGTGGTGTTGGTGTTGTTGGTCGTGTTGTTGGTGTTGGTATTGTTCGTGTTCGTGTTGTTGTTGTTGTGTGCTGTTGCTGTTGTTGCTGCTGCTGTGTGTGTTGTTGTTGTTGTTGTTGTTGTTGTTGTTGTGTGTTGTTGTGTGTTGTTGTGTGTTGTTGTGTGTTGTTGTGTGTTGTTGTGTGTTGTTGTGTGTTGTTGTGTGTTGTTGTGTGTTGTTGTGTGTTGTTGTGTGTTGTTGTGTGTTGTTGTGTGTTGTTGTGTGTTGTTGTGTGTTGTTGTGTGTTGTTGTGTGTTGTTGTGTGTTGTTGTGTGTTGTTGTGTGTTGTTGTGTGTTGTTGTGTGTTGTTGTGTGTTGTGTGTGTTGTGTGTTGTTGTGTGTTGTTGTGTGTTGTTGTGTGTTGTTGTGTGTTGTTGTGTGTTGTTGTGTGTTGTTGTGGTGTGTTGTTGTGTGTTGTTGTGTGTTGTTGTGTGTTGTTGTGTGTTGTTGTGTGTTGTTGTGTGTTGTTGTGTGTTGTTGTGTGTTGTTGTGTGTTGTGTGTGTGTGTGTGTGTTGTTGTGTTGTTGTGTTGTGTGTGTTGTGTGTGTGTGTGTGTGTGTGTGTGTTGTTGTTGTTGTGTGTTGTTGTGTGTTGTTGTGTGTTGTTGTGTGTTGTTGTGTGTTGTTGTGTGTTGTTGTGTGTTGTTGTGTGTTGTTGTGTGTTGTTGTGTGTTGTTGTGTGTTGTTGTGTGTTGTTGTGTGTTGTTGTGTGTTGTTGTGTGTTGTTGTGTGTTGTTGTGTGTTGTTGTGTGTTGTTGTGTGTTGTTGTGTGTTGTTGTGTGTTGTTGTGTGTTGTTGTGTGTTGTGTGTTGTGTGTGTTGTGTGTTGTGCGTTGTGCGTTGTGCGTTGTGCGTTGTGCATTGTGCGTTGTGCGTTGTGCATTGTGCGTTGTGTGTTGGTGTTGTTGTTGTTGTTGTCGTCGTTGTTGTTGTTGCTGTTGCTGTTGGTGTTGTTGTTGTTGGTGTTGGTGTTACCCCTGCAGCGTTTTTGCTCGGTTCCGTAGTGGCCGAAAATCGTCAAATCGGTGGTGTTTTCGCGTGTTTTTGCAACTCTCGGAGCAAAAAACACCGTAAATACCGATGTTTTTGGCGGGTCGGAAGCCCAAAACCACAGTATTTACGATGTTTTTTGCCTCTGGTAGTAAAAAGCACGGTATTTACAGTGTTTTTTGGCCAGCACCTAGCAAAAACACTGGTATTTACGGAGGTTTCACCATGTAACAAAATGTGGTTTCTTGATCCGAAAAGAACAAAAATACTGTAAATTACAGTATTTTGAGTCTGCTCTTAGGGTGCGTGGGAGGTGTGGAGGGGGGGGGGAGGGGGGTACTAAAATAACTAGCAATCTCCTGAAGAATCAGGTAACGGGGCTGGCCGCCCTCCCCTTTACTTCGTAAAGTAAAACTCAAGGTAGCCCCTCTGGAGCTACCTTTCGTGATTTAGAAATGCATTGAATTTGCCTATATCGCAAAGAACGAGTCTCATTCTTGAAAAGAGCCGAATAGCCACGAAGTGGGTGGGACGCGCACGAGGCGGGGGCTTTGCGACCACATTGTATCGCGAACGGCGTCCTTTGCCACCTCTCCCCTTTCCTCCTTTCTTTGGGATCGTTAGATCCTCGGGTTCCTTCTCTCCACGGTGTATGGCCTGTCGAGCCAGCCACCACAGTGGCTACCATGTGAGGCCAGTTGCACCGACTTCCATGCCGCATGAGATGTGAACAAAGCAAGGAGATATGAGTATATAATAATATATATATATATATATACGTATAGATATCAGGAGCGTCGTTTCATTTACAATGTGAAGGAGTGCGTTGTCATATTTGCTCAGTCCTCCATGTCGTCATTTCGGTGTCTCGGTGTCCTGCCATGTCTGCCATGTCTGCCATGTCCTGCCTCCTGCTCTTTCCAAAACTCATCGAAGCCTCTGGGCTTTTCGACCTCTCCCAAGGATTTCCCAGACCAAGGATCCACCGTGGCGTCTTGGAAGGGGTCCATGGCTAGCCATCCCACCCGGATGAGTGATCTGCAAAGTAAGAATCTGAAGACAGCAAAAGAAGAAATGCGTAAACGAATTGACATGGTCTTCCTGACTATGCTATGCATGCTATGCATGCGCTATGCAAAGGTCATAAATCTTGAAGCTGAGCCAAAGCACATAAAGCACATAAAGCACGCATGTTAATCTCACACATTCCAGTTCTCATGCGACCTGTGGTGTCTGAATCACATTGCAAGGCCGCTAAGACGCTAAGACAAGGCCCAGACTGAGGGAGCTAAGGCAGCTAGCCCCTGGCAAGATTTATGAGGCTGATGTCAATCTTTCCACAGCTGGGATCAGCTGAGTGGATCTGCGCTCTTTCGGTCCACGAGCCATTCTTTTTGCAAGCGATCTGAAACACAACGCAACACGAGTTGGTCATAGTTAGCCATAGTTGGTGTATCTGCTCTGTAGTGCCAAACAAAAAATCCACTTTCTGAGGACGAATAAGTGCAAATTTTGGGGCGTGCATTGGTGGTATTTCCCTGATCCATGCGTTCAATGCTGCCAATGCGATTCTCTCACAGATCAGATTGGTTCAAAGCATCAACCTCAGTGATGTCACACAAAAAAATTATCGATGTTCCGCCTGACCCTGTGGCATGGCAACTAAGTGGCCCACCAATTGACACGTAGTAGATACCTGGAAGCAATCATTGCAGTCACGCTGTCACCTCCTGTGGGAACTTCATCGGGGTTTGGCTTATGGTCTTTCATTTTGAAGGTATTAAAATGTATTAAAACGTATTGAAACGGATTAGATGCAATATGTGCCAAAAAACAAAAAAATGCATTCACTTAATTTTAGGATATTCCATCATGGGTCCTTCAATGGCACCATCACCAAGGGTGACCTCTTGGTCTCTCTGGCAGAGGACCGGACCCATCTGGTTGTGACTCCAAGGAGGTCAAGAAGTGCCACCTTAGCAGCACCGGCCACCAAAATGGTAGTACTTAGATACCAGGATGGAACGTCCAACTCGGGAAAAGAATAGATGGATGAAATTCTGAAAGTATAGAGGTGAAAAAAATTATACTTACATTATTATACAGTACTTTACTACACATTATTATATATCATAATATATTATACTGTATATTGAGTTTTACAAGTGGATCTGTCATCTGTGTTCATTTGCATGGCCGCCAGGCCATCTCGGAAAGGCTTTCGAGCACTGCAGCTCTTCTTTCCAGCCTCAACGCATCGCTGAGACAGACCTGCCAAATCCTTGAAATTCAATCTTCTTGGCAAGTTGGAGTAATGTATAGTAATGTTAGAGATTGTTAGAGTATATAGTTGCCCCTATTGTTGCCCTGAACTTTGTCCAACCTGCTATCTTAAGGAGCCATGACGCGACTGATGTGGTTTGTCCCTGAGATTTTGTCGCGTCAGTTTCTGGTTTCGTCTGACTCTCGCCTGTTCAGTCTACCAGTCAGGTTCTTAAAGTCAGTCAACTTGAATCAACTTGAGACGTTTTCCTTCTTGCTACTTGATAAAGGCATCAAAAAGCTCACATTCTGAATTCAAGACAGTATAAGACAGTATTAAAACACAGGAAACATCCCATGAGACATGTGTTTTTTCTGAGAGAAGCGCTCACTTGCCTCCAGCGCCAATTCAGAGATCAGGGGGCCTGGACGAATCGAGGGGAAGCTGGACGCCATTGGAACAACTTTTGGGAGGAAATGTATATAGTTCGCCTAGTTCGCCTAGTTCGCCTCTAGCTCAATATGCTCAATGAATTCCGAGTTCTTCATTACCTTCATATCGTTTCATATGGTTTCGTCTTGTTTCTCCGTTGCATAGCCGACAGTGCCCTACAGTCACGACGGATCCGCCTGCTACACCCAGGCGCTGCTCTGGAAAAGTTAGGGCAGGTCGTGCCTCCTCGGACACCCAGCACCAAGCATAGACCCAGACGTTCCAACAACGCATCAACAAACGCATCCAACTCACGCTGGGGCGGTTGCAGAGCACAGGCTGCGTGCAATTGAAGCAGACAGGCCTGGACAAATAGAAATGAATTCCCGGGAAAGGTGCAAGAGTGCCTACTCAACATCCTTTTAAAATCCTTTTGTTGCTGTAAATTCTTCGTTTCAAGTACCTCTTTGCTACGACTCTCACTGTCATCTACTCTCCTCGGCTGTCAAGGGCAAAGTTGACTCTTCGTGACCACCTTGCAACGAGCACTCGAATCATTCCTGCACTTTTGTCTCAAAATTTCTCCGTTGTAGTCCGTTGTAGTCCATTGGTCCATCAGAGTCCAACTGTCCAACTGAATCAATTGAATCAATCGAATCTGTTGGTCATCTGTGTTTCATCTGGTCATGGCACTCGAAAAAATGGGTTGCTTTGGGCTTCCCAACAGAGACAGGTTGGCAGCGCGACACCTGGCCATCCGAGCATAGCACGCATAGGCCATCCTGGATCCCCGGTTTTTTCGGTGCAGATTCTGTTTCGAAACACGCAGAAGTCGCAGAACTCTTCATGATTTGCAATGCTCAGAACAGGGACACTTCTGGCCTGAATGCGGCAAGGAATGCCAGTGGCCTATTCGACGTGCTACAAGCTATTTCATGCTTGATCCGACAAGCTGCAGAAAGGTTTTTCCAAAGACTTTATAATCTGTATATCCTTTCATATCATCTTTATATATCTTTATATCATGTTGATTCATTTTGAGCCATTCTCCGAGAGGCATCATATCAAGGTCAGGATTCCGGCGTCAGAACTTCCAGTTGTCCAAAGGCAAAGGCCGTGTTTCCGTAGTCATCCATGGTCATCCGTAGTCCACTGAGTCCATAAATGGAACAGGCTGGAACAGGCTGGAACAGGCACCTTCAGGATTGGTCTCCCGTTGCCTTTGCTTCCTTGGTGAAAGAAAAATGATGAAAAATGACAGTTCAATGACGTGCAATCAGAACTGCACTGCAAAAACTGCCACTTTTTTCCCATGATTCCATGATCTTGAAGCCCAGATCATAGTTTCCAACACCGTCCTACCGTCCTGCTTGAACAACAGGTTTTCAGTCTCCAAACTATGCTCCAAACATCCATCTGCGCCATCGCCTACATGGACCAAATGGTACCCAAATCTAAACCAGGGCCTTTCACTGGATACTCTACCGACTCTACCTCATTGTTTACGCTCTAGCTATCTCCACAGGATACTTGTCATTCATGATCAACAAAATTCAATAAGTAGAAATGACATGAAAGGACCGAAATGCAACGAATTCCTTGCCATGCTGTCGCAATTGTCCACTTTCCTCATTCCTCTGATCAGCGGGAGCTCAGGCCTCTCGTGCTCCTCACGTGTTCGATGCTGTCTCCGGTATGCCCTGGCAGCTGCTGAAGGATCCACTTGGTCAGCCTTCTTCAAGTTTTCCCTTGGCTCAGGATGACTCAGAGACTTCAACATCTTCAGCTTCTTCAACGGTAATTCTGTGAAATGCACATGAAACCTCCAAGCTTCAGCACATGAAACATAACTGCGAAGGCATGCCAAATTATATTCTGACTGGGAAAATGTGACATAATGTGAGAAAGTTCTGAGTACACATCAAAAAAAAGGGAAATGACAGGCTCGCACATGCCACTCACAACATGGAACTTGGAAGCAGGCTTCCAAGTGTCCAGCGGTTCCCGGACCACTGTCCTGACAGCTGTGGCCTCTCAGGGCAGCTAGGCTGAGCTGGTTCGCGCGGCAGTGCTTGGCGCATGCTTGACACAGTTTAACTCTGGATTCAACAGTGTCAAGAGTGTCAAGAGCATCAAGAGTGTCAAGAGTCCTGTTTTTCCCAGCCAGCGCGTAGATCGGGTGAAATGTCTTGACACGAGAACGCTAATTCAATCTTTTCAAGACGTCTACATGTTACCTGAGAGACAGTGTGCACTAAACTTTGCCAAAGCCGCTGGCCAGTTTATAGAATATTCAAAGTCCTGTCCAGCTTAAAATTCTGACAGGTGAAATTCTGTAATTAATTAAGAAAACAATCCGCTCTCAGACAGGTGTAGAGACCCATCATGACACCTCAGCAACAAACTGTGCTGATGTGATTGAATGTGAATGAAAAATACATGTCAAAGTCGTCAAGCACGTCGCAATCTGTTGGAAATGCCTTAGCGCGCGTCTTTTTTTTGTCCGATGTACATGTATTCACCCTTGGGACACAAAGGTGAATCGAAGCAGAGATGCCTAGGTCGAGTGTGCTTCAAACACATTCGCAGAGCAACGTTGTGAATTAGACCGAGTCGTTTCAAATGGCAGACTCTGATCTTTCCCGCTATGCTGAGGGCTGGCTCGTTCAGGAGACAAGCGCCCCGAAAATCACCGGATTACTCTGCAGGCCGAGCGTTGGAAAATTTCTTGCTGGCCGAAAATCGAAAGGCCTTCACTACGGCCCAGAAGGAAACTCTGAATGTAATTGTCAGTGCTGCAACCTCAGGTATTGCAAAAGGATGGTCTGACGACGAGTCACAAAGAAAACAAAATAGAAAGGATGGTCACAACAAATATGATCAATGCATAAACATGCAAAAACCATAAAGGATCATAAAGGTCCTTGAAACACCATTGAAACATCATGAACCCACAGAGCAATACAAAGCTGTGCTGTGCCATGCAACGATTGCTACTGCGGCAGCTCGGCCCCGAAATCTCTGAAGTTGAAGCCCACCGATGATCTTCACGGATTTCTCTCGTCTCTCACGTTGTCGTCTTTCATACGCCGTGGGAGCCGTGGGGGTTGTGGTTAGAGATGTTAGAGCCACCGGAGCTTGAACTGCAGTTGCAGAGTGTGCAGAGGCAGGACGTGGACGTCGCCAAGGAAAGCGAAGTGAAACACGAAGCCTTTCGGCTAAGGCATTGGAAGCCAAGTCCCGCAAAGGCCTTCCCTTCTTCCCAGCAAGGCCTTGCAGCAATTGCTGGGCATCAAGATCTGCAAAGATCCTTCTCAGTGCAGATCCCTGGGGCGATGCAAGGACTCGTTGCAAGACCTCTGCATAATTCGCACTCGAACTCGAACTCGAAGAACTCGCAGAGCTGGCTTCGGCACCGTCGTGGCCAACATGGCTGGTGTGGCCGGCGGTGCTGTTGTCGTTGGCTTCAGCTGCTTCAGCTTCAGCCTGAGACACCAAGGCGTCCAAGGTCTCCCATTGTGGAGAGCCCGTCTCGGTCACAAAGTTCTGCCGCAAAGCTGCTACAGCAGCCTCTGGAAACATCGCAAACCAAGGCAGTGTCTCCACAAAATCTCTATCTTAATATGTAACAAAACATCATGTTGTATGACATAATTATGACATGTCTATAATATAGCAAATTGCAATTTCTTTTGTGTAGCAAAAGCTGCATGTGGTTCCAAAGTCTAGGCCTTGGTCTTGGGCGATAGGGCTCTCTGCATGGCATATGGGAGAGACGCTTCGTAGATGTTGAAGTCTGGGCGCCTCAGACATGGCTCAACACCGGATGATCCGGAGGATCCAGAGACTTCACGAGAGGCCAATTTCAATTCAATAACCATTCTATAAATTCTATACCTTTCTGAATTTCCAACTCGTAATGTCCAAATGCGGTTCCGTTTCGCTCATCTCAGAAGTTGTAATCAAACTCAAATGCATCACTTTTTGAGCGTTCGAATTTTGAACCACAAACTATTACAGTCAGTAACTATTCATCCAAGTTTTGCCCATTCTTGTAACTGCAATATTACAATAGACAAGCTATGGATAGCTACTGATAGCTACCGGTAGCTACTTCTTACAGCTACTGTGTACTGCCTCTGCATGTTTTGTTGGTAAGAGTGCTATGGGCCGTCCAGTCTCACCACCGTACCAAAAATTACCAAACGATTAAATGCTGATAAATGCTGCAATAGTATGCAATAGTATTAAATTGATTCAATTCTTGGCCCAGCAATGCTATGTTTTCAACCTCAGACGGCCCAACATGAAGCACGTTGTGCAACTCCTTCTGTCCGAAGTGAAGGGCCTTCTTAGACAAATCAGACAGCTGATAGCAACTTGCACCACAAAATTCGAAAAAATAAACGGTACAGTTTCCAGCGCTTGCTTCAAAATTCAAGCAGGAGAGGGGAGAGGAGTCCAGCTAGAGATGCTGATCATGTTGCAGCTAAAACGGCGGACATGGGACTGCACAAATCTCTGCATGCCAAGCGGCACAACACCGGCAATGCCTTCTAACGTGAGGAAGGTTCGAATGAAGAGAATGATGTACCCAGGCATCACCATATGGTAGTGGTAGGACAACTTGGTCAATGCCCCAGCGAGTGCACCAAATCGGCTCAAGCCTCCTTCTTCTGCCTTCATTTGCTTTTCCAGTGCAGCAGCGAATTCCTCGTCTGGACACCTTTGAAGACAGGTCACAGGTCATGAGAATCCGGACAGAACTGAGAATTTGATGACCAAAATTCCATCATCTTCGTCCATTTCCCGAAATCTGAGAATATCGATCTCACTCTGAATCTCACTGCAAATCTCACTTGTCCATCTTGTCCCTACTCAGTCTACTCTTGTCTTTTTATCGTTTTTATCTGGGTGCCCAACGAGGTGTATTCAAAGACACGGGCTGTTGGGTCGACCACCTTTTTGAAGCCGCCCTCATCCCCAACGGCCATGAAGCCAACGTCTGGCCAGCTGTCAAATCAACGGAACAAAAAGACTCAAATGTGACTTGACAAAAGCACAGTGGGAAACAAGTTACAGGAAGTTGTAGGAAGTTGCTAAAGCCTTGCACGACCTGTCATCTGTCATCTATCTGTCATCCAAAAGTCAGCAAAAGTTCTGGCCTTGCATGACTTTGGCCAACAAAAGCCATCGTTCTGCGAGGAGGTGCTGGATTCCAGCCTGAGACAGACTGAAAGCAAGAAAGATGGGAAAGCTGAGCACAAAGAATCACAACGGTGCAAGCGAAAGAAATGCGTTCCTATACGTTCCTTCACTTTCGAAAATTCAAACCTCAACGAGCCAAGTGACGGCAAACCCCTCCATGACGTGTGGCTCCACAGTTCCTTAAATTCCCAGGAACAACAACAACAACAACAACAGCAGCAACAACAGCAACAACAGCAACAACAGCAACAACAGCAACAACAGCAACAACAACAACAACGACAACAACAACAACAACAACAACATTGATCGAAAATGTTTGGCATATGTTTGCATTTGGCAAGACTGTTCACGAACAACTGTAAATGCAAGTCCTACGAATGGCTATACTGCCCCAACTCTGGCAAGTTATAGAAGCAAGCAACTCCAAGACGTTCAAGACCACAAAAACACTCTAAAAAATGCAAACAACATGAGAAAGCCAGCTTAAGAGTAGGGCAAGTGTGTGCCAAGGAGAAAATCCAAGCACAGCGTAGAATGTAGCAGATCATAGCTGAAACAAATAGAAAAAGTAGAAAGCAGGCAAAGCATAGACAACTTCGAGGCTCCCATCAGACCAAAGTCCAAGAAGGCAAGGCGGCCATCCTCCGTGAGGATCAAGTTGCCTGCGTGAGGATCTGCCTGCAAAGCGGGGTACCGAAACCTTCGTTTCTGTTGAACAGTTGAAGCTCTAAGATCTCTAAGATCTCGATCTCTAAGACTCCCACGTGAACAAAGCCGGTGAAGACCAACGAAGACACACAAGCCTCCGATGAGATGGAAAGAAAACATGAATCTCGAGAAAGTGCCATCAAAAAAAAAAGCGGACCTGCTGAAATTCATCTCAAAGCCATAGGACATTGTCAAAGCATTGCCCATGTGGGACCCCATTCGTGTCTCACGCGCCTCCACAGCCATGTCCTGAGACATTCGGAGAAGATGTGTGTGCAAACTGCGAAGCGTAACTGCCACATCTTGCTACATCGCCAAACATCTTCACCAAAAATCACCAAAATCATCCAACTTGGTAAATGACAGTGCAATTTGGTGCGAGTTCAACATGGTGCTGCTATGTACTGCTGATGTTTGAGGTCAGGTCCACCATCTTCATTCGTTCTTCCTCACTCTCTATCTCTTGAAGTTTGCGCCCATGGATCCATTCCAAGGTCCTTAGATGTCTTAGATAAGAAATGATAAGAAACTTCAAAAACTTCAGAAATCTCAAACTTGATCGATCTCAAATATCTCAACTGAATCTCAACCTCACTGCCTCTGAACACAGAGCTGCATCTGTCTACATACGATATACAAATGTGATCAAATGTGTGCATACATTGTGCTTGTGATTTCCTAAGCATCCCTGACTTTCACCGATTTCTTTGAGAGAAGCGTTCTGAAAGCTAAATGGAATGGCCAAGGACAAGTTCGATCATGGCCAAGTCACAAGACACGAGCAGTACCCTTCGGTCCAGTATACTCGGGCAGCCAGTGCGGTGCTGTGACGAAAGGCAAAAAGCGATGTTTCTTCAAAAAGAGCTCGGCATTGTACGCCTCGTTGTGGTAGTCGAGCTCCTTGAAGACGCCCCGTGCTACTTCGTCTGCAATCTTCCTCAAATCTAGGTTCTCTCAAAGAGACAGCCCACTATTCGTCAGAACAGTCTACATCAATCTGCAGAATTTTCAACATGGACAAGTTGACAAGTCACGGATACTCGTCACCTTGACCTCCCCAATACACATCCAGAACCATAAGCCCAAGGGCCTTCAGTAGGCCACAGCACCACGTGTCAGGCAACGTGTCAACGGGCAGTGACATCTTTCCCAAATGGGTTGCTAACATTTGCTAACTATTTAATGCTATTTACAATCTATTTACATGTTATTATATGTTATTTCTGTATGTTCCCAGAAGGCGAGCCATTAAGTTCAGTACTCTCGAAGAATGTCATGTTTCCGTTCGAAACAAGACCACCTCAACCCTCACGTTTGCATCTTGTATCATCTTGTCATCTTCATTTCAATTCATCTTCGCACTTGAAATCACTGGAATCATGTCTTTCCTCATGTCTCCTCTCTTTGGCCCTCTCTTCCTAGAAAATCTCTGCAGCCAACGCACCCAGCAGGTCCAATCTAAGGCGACCTGCCGGAACCAGGTGTTGCATTGCTTGGGGCCAGCGAGAGATTTAAGTGATTTTAATGGTACAAATGTTCTGATATGTTGTATTGTTTTGTTTGTTTTGTCAGTGTTTGCAGATGTTTTTGCAGACTTGAAACAGGAGGCTCCTCTAAACGGAGCAAACAGAAGGGACAGAATGCGAATTCGGACAGAACTGCAGGACATCCACAGTGTCACAGCATCTCCGCCTGCTTCAGGCTACCAGGTCGCTGCACCTTGGGTGACACAAAAATGTCGATGCAAGGCGTCCAGAAAAAGCCTCGGCTCCTTTCTGAATCTCTTGGTGCGGACCTATAGTATGTCACAGTTGTAGAACAAAGCATCTTGACAAAACATGCAGGAATCATAATCGTAATTGATCATAATTGATCATAATTCATCATAATTGATCATAATTGATCATAATGGCATAATGTGTAAAGCCTATGCAGAAAATCCAGAATTCATCGTGACACACAAAAACCATTGTTGGAGGTCACTGTTGAAGCGTCGGCTTTGGGGAAACTTCCCATGTCCCATGTCCCATGTCCCATGCTGTCCCTGCCTTCACGGCCACAGTTTGTCCATCCAAAGTCGTTGCTTTGTAGACTTGGCCCAAAGATGCAGCCGCCACGGGCTGCTCTGTGATGGAGGCGAACAAAGGAGGCCCTGCAGGGTCACCTTTCAATGTCATACCACCGGGCACCAACGGCCCAGTGTGGTTCAGATCCTCCAGAATGGTGGCAAAAGCAACCTCCGTGCTGAAGGGCGCGTTTTCCTGAGCGGTAGTAAAATGAAGTAACTGACAACTGAAAAACAAAAGAAACAAAATCTTGGGGATGTCAAAAACTAGCTTGGGGGTTCAAGAAAATCTTATCCTCGGCATGTTAACACCCCAAGCCGGGCCTGCTGAAGCAGCTTCAACTCCTCCGCTGCTTCATCGCCTTTGGGAGCGTGTCAAAAAGTGGAGGGAACGGGAGGGAAAGGGAAACATCGGAAAAGAATGGAAAGAACAGATTTGGAAAGGCACTGGAAAATCCTAGAAGAGAACTGGGCCCAGGAGAAGCGTATGACGCGATGTAGTTTCCAGCATCTTCCGTTTCAAACCGTTGAAATTTCCTCCCAAAAAGCTAAGTTCTAGTGATTCTCGATTCTGAACACTAAGTGATCTTCAGTGATCTTCAGTGATCTTCGATCAGTGTGCAGCAAAGGTACCAATGAGGTCTGGCCTCTCAGACAGAGTCTGTCCAATCTTCACAAAGACTGGACCCAGCCGAGAGAGAGCAGTGCGTAACATGGCACCACGGGTGCGCTGCTCTGCGGGCAACGACTCCTCCCGGTGCCAATTGTCCCAAACTGGCCAAAGCTCTTGCAGAATCTCCGACCATCGCCAGGCGATCTCTGCGGGTCTCGAACCTCGACTTTGCAAAGACTTTCAAAGGGTAAAAACACGATGACAACATGACAACGGGACACGGAAAGTTTAATTATCAATGATATCCACTTCAAATATATATATAATATATATATATATGTGAAAATGAATTGAATGAACAACTAATATGATATCAATAAAATGTATATGACAATATGAATACAATATGAACATGATAAAATAATATAAAATATATGTAACAACACTTGGCCAAGGAGCTGAAAAAGTCCAGCAGAATGTCTCGATCAAAGCGTCTGGGCAAACCATCATAGTCATCAAGACTGCGTCCATGCAAACCATCAAAAAGCTGCGCTGCAAGGGCGGAGTCTTTGTCTGCATCATTGAAGCGCAGTCCAAGTCGTGATTTCAAGTCCACCCCCACATTCGAAGCCAAGGAAGCTATCTGAGTTCGTACTGCATTGGTAAATGCTGGAGCATCGAATACATTGAATACATCGAGTACAGCAGCAGCGAGGGCCAGAAACAACCACGCTGCGCCGCGAAAACCATGGCTGCGACGCCGATGCATCGGCTTTTTTAAGCGCACGGAAGCCAGATGTTTTTTTGGGATCTTTTGGGTACATCTCACGGCAGCGTCGCGAAACGCAGGATGATCCAAGATGACAATGGAATGACATGAGATATATGAGATGAGATGCATCAACGTTGCATCATAGCATCATAGCGAAAGGTTCGAATTCTTTGCAGAAGTTTGGACTGCTGGACTTCACTGTGAGGAGCTCATAATTGGAGGAGTGATCACATGAACCTCATCTTTCCTTATCCTTATCTTACAGTTTGACTATGTCAAGAATCGCGATGGCTTTTATAGTTCTTCAAAGTTCCTATGCCTTTCATGCGCGCCCAACGATAGAAACGGTGTGCTCTTCTTCTCTTGCGGCACTCACCTTCGGCACCGCAATGCTGCCAATGCTGTTGCCTGAGTCCCAAGTTGGCATCACCACAATTGGCCTTTCAGACGGGCAAGACTTCCAAGATGATTTCAAAGCTTTGAAGAACAAAATGGTTCAAACTCTGTTTCCAGAGTCGGCCCCTGCAATACAAGTGGCAGAGCTGAACAAGACAAGAAATTTCGAAACAAATTTCTCCAAGAGAAATTCGACCAACAATCGCCCCATGACTCAAATTTGTTTGACAAATCGTCAGGCCTGGCTGCACCAAGCTGGGCTGCATGGACTTTGAGCCAAGCCATAGGAACATCAGGAACTAAGGAGCGAAATCGTGGCTTCATGTCACTTTCACGTCGACAACGCCAGCCATTTCGTGGAAAAGAGGCGTAACAACTTTACAGGTGCATTGATATCACTGGTTCAGTGATTGAAAATGTTGGAATGAAATCTATGAAACCTAGAGAAAACAAATAAATGTGTAGTAGATGATTGGATGATTGGATGATTGTAGAATATCGAAACACTTGCACTCTCCCACAGCTGACCTCAGGTTGGCGTATGCTTCGCCGACCTTCATTTGAGCTGAGTCTCAAACCATGGCTATCAGGTTTCCAGTGTTCAACAAATCAAACGATGCTGAACTGCTGCAGTCTGAATCGCACAACAGCTAAAATATACTAAATGATCTAAAAATGATCAAACAAAATGAAACATTCTGAACCTATATATGATACATATATTATAATTATATAATTATAATATATATATATATTTCTATGCAAAAAAAATGGTGATTCATGGTGATTCCTTTTTACATGTTTGGACCTTTCGTTTCGTTATTGCTACATTCGTCCCACCTTGAAGAATGGGCGCCTGCAACGCTGTGAAGCCTCCATGCTCAGGAGCTGGAATGATGCCTCGAAATTCATCGATTTTTGCATCGCATGTCGCAGCAGGTTCCCTTAAGAAGGCTCTTAATCCAATTAACGAGCTATTGGAACGCGAATGAAGGTGATTTTTCTAAAAAGTCGCGCCTTCTCCCAAACCACGCAACAAACCCCCGACACTGCACCACCGCCTGGAAATGCTTCCTGAGAGCGTCAGCAAATGCAGCCCGAAAGAACGAAACGATGTCGAAAAGACGCAATCTGAGACTCCAGCAGAGTAGGTTGTATCCTTCGGCCGATCTCGTCGAAGCGGAACTGATTCTGCTGATGCCTATTCAGTGTAGGTTGGAAATGGTTGAAAAAAATCTCGAATCAAGTCTTGTGATTCTTGTGAAAGGGTAGCGAAACATTAAAAATTCTCTGTAGTTGTGGCCACCTCGGCAAAAATGCCTCCTGGGGCAATCAGGCTTGCAACCTGGCAGCATCAAATTGGTTCCCAAAAAGTAGCAGAGTGCGTCAGGCTTGCGAATGAAAATGAACTGGATACAAAGATCTGCACAAAGAGACTTTTAGAAGAACTGGAAAAGCCTACAGACATCTACAGACCTTCAAAGATCTTGGAAGAGAGAGAGAGAGAGAGAGCGCAATGAGCAATCAATATCAATCACGAACCAGAAACTCACGAGAGGCCAAAAAGAAATCAAAAAAGCATTGGCCCAGAAATCTGCTTTTCGATGCTTCACAAACACATGGCCAGATATGATTTCCGTGAAATCGCGTCAGTATGCGTAAGTCTGGAACTTGGTCCTTTGCAATGCCTTTCGGTCTGGGCGTACGTTCCTTCGCAGGTCAAATGATGCCCCATTTCAAATGGGTTGGTTGAACTAAAGCTCTCCATTTCTCGACTTTCTTGTTGGACTCGTCCAACAAGAAATGGGCAAAGCTCTGGGGCCAAGAGTTTGAGTGTAGCAGTGGGTGTGGCATGCAACTTGTGGCCTCCTCTGCTCACTTGCTCAGGCTCTGCTGACACGCGTTTTTCTCATCTTTGTGACATGTTGTGAGACAAGAAGAGCGAGGCAACTTGGAACAAAGAGAGCAAAGCGTGTGGCTTCGGAACGTCTCAGCAAGTCTCAACCCCTTATGTGAACACGACATGTTGGACAGCAAGATCAGCAAGAGGATCAGAATGACACCTTGCTATCTTTTCTTAATGCCTCCAATGCCTCCTGCATTAACAAGTTATTGACACAGTGTTCAAACATGTTCAAACGCTCAGAGAGTCATCGAAGATCAAGACCCTTGAGATCGTCGGCACAAGGGGCATTGATTATTGGCTCGCAGCCAACGACCAATGCACTCCTGGCAAGATCTCGAAACATTTCAAGATATTTCAAGTACATTCGAGTACATGGCATATCACAACGTCCACCGATTAGGTCTTCCTTCCCAGAAACATTGCATGCCTTCCGGAGTTGCCCAAAAAGCCGGACATTTTGAGCAACTACCTTCCGCATACAGTATTGATTTGACACATCCCTCCCCACGGCTGTCCACGTGGAAGAAGTGCCCACAATTTGGTAGCTCCGTAAGAAGGTTGCCATCCTGCAGTGATACAACTTCAGTAGAATGACGCTTCCACGGTAAAATCTATCAAAATCTCCTGGTACTGCTCCAGGCAAATAGAGCAACTGCTCTCCTCTCACAGATGAAAACATGCCAAGACAGGTTCACGCAAAAAGACAAAAAGAGTCAAACTGAAATGAGACGAAGACAACTGTGACACACAAACTGGAGATCTTCCACAGCCCTCATTTGCTCTCTAACATGTTTTTTGCATGTTTTTTGCATGTTTTTTACATCTTTTTTATAACATGTTCCAATGCTCCTCCGGTGCATCCGGGTGCCCAAATCGCACCTTGGGCAAGGCCTCGATGTTGGCCTCACGACGTTGCGCGTTGCATTCGCCTCGACTCGACAGCGCCACGACACTCCGCCTCTGACAGGGCCAACGCCATCTCCACCGCACGCACTGTGCGAAAGGCCTCGACAATCTCGACACAATGCGAACACAGGCCCCGCAATGGCCCCGCAATGGCCCACATGCGAACACGACAGGGGTCACATCAGGCGGTGTCTTGGAGGAAACACACCGTGCCAAGTCAGATAGCTAAATTCTAAATGTAACTATACACATGTTAGAAGGCCAAAAATTAAATTTAATTGGCTTTGCTATTGAACGCTTCGAAAGTCAAAGGTCACCAGTCAAAAGGTCACCCAGCAGACCCAGCAAACCTCCTCCATGAACTGGGCGTTTGCTCCAGTGAGTCTGCGAAGTACCTCGGGTGGCTCGAGTCTTCTCGAGTCTTCTGGAGTCTTCTGCAGTGTCTAAGTGTCGAAGTCGATCCACCGTGGCTTTGGGTTTCTCCGCCTCCTCCAAAGCAGCTTCCACCGAGTCCATCCCAGCCTCTGATGCTTCAGAAGCCTGGAACATCGACGCATCGAAATATCGAAATTCATGAAAAATGTTGAAAAATTGTCCAGAGATGTCCTGAGATGTCCAGAGATATAAGACTTGTCAAGTGACTGCATCAGTATTCTTGAGAACTTTGCTAAAGGGCTTGAGATGGCTCCAGCAGTGTGATGTAAACATTAATGTAAACCGACGTAAACCGCTAAGACGCGGATTGCATAGGCTACAAGGATCAGGATCTACAAGGACCCGAGGTTTTGGAGGTTTTGGAGACCAGGAATCCCGACACTCGTTTCAGAGAAGATGGTGCGGACGGTTGCGTCCTGCCACGACTTGGGCTCTGGCTCTCAGTGGTAGCCGTAATGGTCTCCGAGTCTAGAAGTAGAGCCAATGAAAGAGAGATTGGAATTTACTCAGCTTGTATTCTGCTGGAGGGATTGCACATGTGCATCACCGGAAGTAGCCACGGAAATCATCTTCAGGCTTCAGGTCTTACAATATCTCACAATATCTCACAGTATCTCACAATATCCCACAATCCTATCCACAGATTAACAGTATCTTCCAGTATCTTTCAATATCTTTCAGTCACTGGATGTCACTGGTTCATCCCCTGTCCAGCGCAGTGGCCGCATCTGGACCACCCGTGGGGCTTATCGGCTGGGAGGCGACCTGAAGGAGGCGGAAACCGGGAAATCAAATGAGAAAAAAATGTAAAAAAAGAATGCTGTAATAAAGATATTTAATGATATTTATATATATATAAAGTATTATAAAGTGCTATAATCTATGTAAGAACTCTTGAATTTGATTTTGTTGAACTGTGGTAGAATTCTCCGCAAAAACCCATGACTGAAGAAAAGAAAAAGTAGAATAGTAAGAGTAGAAGTAGATAGGCACAGAAGCACAAAAGCAGAGAAGCAGAGAAAGCAGGGAAGCAGAAAAGAAAAGAAGCAGGTAAAGCAGAGAAGCATGAAAAGCAGAGAAGCAGGAAAAGCAAAAAGCAGAAAAGCAGAGAAGCAGAGAAAGCAGGGAAGCAGAAAAGAAAAAAAGCAGGTAAAGCAGAGAAGCATGAAAAGCAGAGAAGCAGCAAAAGCAAAAGGCGGAGAAGCAGAAAAGCAGAGAAGCAAAGAAGCAGAAAAGCAGAACAGCAGAAAAGCAGAGAAGCAGAAAAGCATAGAACCAGGAACCCAAAAAATCCAAAACCTGCCGCGGAAAAAAAAAAAACATCATTATATATCCATCCCAAGGAATTTAATGAATTTCACGGAGGTCCGGAAAGCAAATCCAGGGGGTCAAAAAAGCAAGGTGGGGGGTTCAAAGAAATAAGGGCCCCGAATTCTTCTCCTGGATTGTGGGTCTCAAGTTTGGCGCAGTGCCGCCTGCATGGTGGAAGCGGGAGAAAACTCCGCTTCCTCGTCCTGCTACAGCCACAGGTGCCACGGCCACACAGGGTTCGGATTCGTTTCCAGATTCGTTCAGCCAGCCAAGTTCGGTCCGTTGGGTCCGTTCGGTCCGCAGGAGACGCCCAGGTGACAGACAAAGCGTTTTCGTTGACGCTGTTGATGCTGTTCCTACAACATGCTCAACTCAGCTTGTAGAAATGAGATGAGCAAAGAGAAGAAAGTGACTGCAAGACTTCCACGGAGCAACAGCCTTTCGAAAAAAAGACTTTACGCGTTCAAGATCGTTGTTCTCGTTGTTCTTGAAAGATTGAAGCTGCGTCGGCTCCTTGACATCCGCGAGGCACTCCTCAAAGACTGGAAAAGTGTTCGAAGATGTTAGAAATGTTGATTCTGCCCAAAATCCCTGCGCAGATCTTTCCTGTGTCTCTTGTCCCCGTCCCCCGTTGTCCCCCGTTGTCCCCCCGTTGTCCCCCGTTCCCGTTGTCCCCCGTTGTCCCCCGTTGTCCCCGTGTGAACCAAGGCACCAGGTTGCAAAGCCCGCACTAGACACCTTTCCAACGTTTCAAGTTCCAAAAGGTAAGGTCTCAAGAGTGTCTCAAGACAAGCAAACTGCAAAGTGCAGATTGTAATGCATCGTGTATTAAGTGTATTAAATGATATTAAATGTATTACTGTATCGGGGAGATAGACAAAATATGTTGGGAAACTCTCGGAAACTCGACTCAGGGTACTCGACTTACCAAGACCCAAACGTTCCTGGGAGTCTCAGCCAGGCGCCCTCAAGGGTCAAGCGGGCCAAGCGTTCAATGAAATGAATTCACATTGGAATAAAGCCAGCAGACATTGACATATTCATTGGATGTGTTCTCCACGAAATATCTAGCAAATTCATGCAAATTCAATAGACCCAAGAGGATGGTTCATTTAATTCATATTACAAATCTTCCAAATCGAACTTCATCTGCACAAATATCATGAGATATACATTCCCCGACTAACAGATCCTCTGATCACAGCGAAACCCATGCCACTCCAACAACGAAATCGCAAAAAAAAAAACTAATGCTAACCACCAGACAACATCTCCAATCTCCAATAGTATCCGCTTGTTCAGCCATGTTCAGCCATTTTTGTTATTACAACATGGTCGCTACGATTTTTTTGAATCTTATTGGAACTTTTAACACTGTCCTCTGACATCCCCAACATCAACAAATCTTCAACAAGTTCCATGCCTGTTCCTGGGGTCGCGCCAGCTGTCATCTAACTCTTCCGACTGTCTAAGTACCAAACGAAAGCGACTCTGCAGGTCTTCAGCGGTAGGAGTCTGAACAAGACGAAACGGGTGGAAACGCTACAAAGTGAAGGGAAAACAGAATGGAAAAGAAGTGAACCCGTCAAACAAAATTCACGATGTGGTGCGAAAAGGTTTATGTTGGAATGAAAGTCCTAAGTGCTACCAGTTTGCCGTAGCTGTTAGATTTTGGTTAAAATTCGAAAAAGAGCATCCAAATACAAGCATGCTACAGAGCTTCCACTTAACACAAGAAAGCTATAGAAAGCTCAAATGCTCAAACATGGAAGACTCATGAAGACTCTATGAATTCCATGCCTCTCTGCCGATATCTGCCAGAGCTCCTTGCAATGAGCGCTGCGTGGTTGCCTGTCAGATGCTGAAAGGACCCACAAAAGCCAGGATTGAGAGAGAAGATGCTCTAAAGATCTTCAAAGATCTTTAGAGCTAGCGAAGATATCTATGGACCCCAGCCCAAGCATTGTACAAACAGCAGAAATGCTTCGATGCTGTGAGATCTATGAGAAATGTAGGCAATCTCCACAGCCTCCGCAAGTTGCCGGGCTTCTGCAGCTCCTTGGCGCCAAGGGATGGCCGAAGCAGAAAAATCAAGGCGGCACTGAGTTGAATCCCATATCATCGAGTCCAATCGATTATGGCGACCAAGAATTCTACCCCTTGAAGCCAAGATACTGCATTGAAGGGCATTGTTTGGGAAAAAAACTTTGTTCAAGTGCGTCAGTTTAACACAATTTTAATATAGTTTTAATTATATAATTTACATCATTGATATATTGATTACGTCTTTGTTTCATTATGTTTCGTTGACTGTGCTACGGAGCGGACGCATTGCTGGAACTCCAGTGCTGTAGGCCTCAAAATGACGAAAATCGCGATGAAAAGCTACAGCAAAATCGAACATTGAGACGTCGGCATAGAGTGTCGCACCCAACGTAGCACCCGGCCTGAAACATCGCACAGATGAAACGGAAACGCATTAAACCTGCATAGCTGCATGTGTTTGTCTATCCACTACTGCATATGTTACAACTCTATCCAGATCGATTGAGTTTATCTTACATTGAATGTGTTGTATCAACCTTTGTGTGTTAGTATTCATACAGTAGGTACCAGCTCGACTGAGTGTGCATTTAGTAGCTTTGCAAAACTGCTTGCGCTGTGCAAAACTGCTCGCGCTGTTCGAGCCTTTCACTCCAGTTGAGAGAAGTTGTCGCCTGGCTTCAGATTACTGCATTTCAGACATGCAGAGAATTGACAGCAAGAGATGTGATATCGAAACATATTCTAAAACTGTATGTATCGTCCAACATCTTGATACAGTGAGTATACCGGGACATGAGAAAAGAATTGAAGAGATAACTTCAGGTGATCCCAAGAGCTTCCAATCCAAGCGTGTTCCCACAATTTGGAACCCGTCCTCCAAACGCGTGCGGGAGGCCTCCTGACAGTTTTATCCGAGCGTTTCGTGGTTTTCCACTTTAAGTGCTCCTATTTTTTCGACTAAGCACGCTATCTTTTTGTTCTCCTGTTTTGTCCCACCGTATATCAATGTAAACGATTGTGTTTCACAGTATATCACCGTATATCGGTCTATAATATAATATAATATAATATAATATAATATAGTATAATATAATAATATAATATAATATAATATAATGTAATGTAATGTAATGCAATATAATATAATATACACATATATATTATATAATTCTATAATATATATATATATATGTTTATCATGATAATAGTAATTTCACAGTATAGCCTACTGAGCCTATTGAGGCTGCTGGATTTTTCAAGCTGTTCGTTTGCAGCGCTCGGGCGCCTCCGTTGGAGAATTGCATGCGGAATCTCTCTCCACCCAGACATCGTCTCCCGTCTCGAGATCCTGCAAAAGGCCTTGGGTTCAGAAGGGAACAGAAGGCAACAAATGAAAAACAAATGAAATGTGGTACAAGACATTACAAGACATTACAAGACATGATGTCTCATGGCTTCTGAAACTCAAGGAATCTGGCATTCTGTCTGCTTGTGTCTCTAACAGGTCCAAGTGTGTCTCCATGTCGAGCAATATGAAGTGATCTTCTAAGAATTCCACTCCGCAACGCTGATCGCAAGATCTGAGTGAGAGGAAACTCTAACGACTCTAACCCAGATTCTGCTTGGCAGCTTAGCGGACCAAGCTTGTGGGTCTGTCTACATGCTCAAGTTAAACAACCAAGGTGAATCGAGGTGGGACTATCCTTCGGTTTTTCATGTGTGCCACTTCTGCTTCATTTGGTTTTGCAATATGCCAATTATATGCCAATTATGCTGATACTGTTTTCACAGTCACATGTTTGTACGGCGTTTCCCAAACGTGCATCTGAGGAATCTACATCCGAAGCGTGTGTGGCCGTGCCATGGCTCATGTCCCAGGTTCAAAACGGCGAGTCGCTGCAGGGTTTGACAAGGTGCTGAATCTCTGCTTCCAAAAATTTCCCAAATGTTAGATCTTAACAAATCTTCTGCCTATCTTCGCCTGCCTTGTGCTCAGCTTTTACCATGATTTACCCGGCGCTGGCTCTACTTTTTTGGTGTTTTCCAATGCTCATTTAAGCTCACTCAATCTTTTTTCCAGGCAGTGTGTTTCAAATACTGCGGCTAATTCTGTCTTCATTGTTTTGAAATCAGTGGAAATGCGCTCTCTCTCTCTCTCTCTCTCTCAACTTGCATAATCCTTAGGTGGTCAAAGCCAAGCTCAAGCCTGGTGCAGCTATGGACAACTGAACATTGATACTGTACCTGTTCACAATGCAGCCAGAAAGATCCAGAAAGTGAATGTCTCAAAAATGTCTCTAAATGTGTCTCAATGCTTCTCGGCGTCGTCGCAATGGTGCACTGTGCCAATGTCAGTGTCCTCCAGCCCGCTGGCTATAACCATGTTCTCGGCAGCATGGCAATGTGTGGCCACAGAACTGCGATGAACTGTGGAAGATTGTGGGATAGCAAGGCAACGCATGGCAACGCACAGCCGCAATGGACCGAGGTCGAGACTCCGCATTGGCTGAAGGTCATTGCTGGAACAAAGTTGACTCACAAGTTGACATCGTCGCTTGGATGTTTGGATGTTTGGATGTTTGGGCACTTGCCAGTGAGAATCACGTCTAAAGATCTAAAGATCTAAAATGTCTGTCTGCAAGTTGAAAAAAAAATGTGAAAAGATTTATTGTCTTGCAACGCAAATTTGGATCACCTCTGCTGAACAGCCCGACCCTCTTTGAACCTCTGGGCAACACAGCGAGAATTACAATGCTGAGACATCAACCGGCTCCACTACTCTGCAAGGATGGTTGCAGTGGCAGGAGAAAGTCGGTGAGAATCATTCAAAAAAGGTTTGAGAAACTGAGAGAGCTGTAACATGCTGTAACTACACATTGTGACACACGGTGACACATCACTGGCCCACGTTTCTTTTGCGAGGACTGGGTCAGGCTGGTTGCTCAGGCACCCAGCCCAGGATATCCAGACCTTGGATGTCCAATTTCTCTAACTGGGAGAGTTGAAAAGATTCGAAATGCTTCTCAGCATGGACACAAAACACATATCATAACAATACCCGGACACAAACGTCGACATCTGTTACTTTCTCACGTCTGATCCAGAGTTCCAGTCACGGTGTGCATGGCATGTGTCAACAGGGTGCGAGTTACATGTCACGTTGCAATTAGCATCTGATCTCGGTCCAAGTGTGATGAGTGCGATCTCTGGTGCTCAAACAAGGTACGCTGCCCATCCAATGAAAGCCATTGCCACCAGGGCCAATCCATAATATGCTGTCGGATTGAGCTCCTGTCACATCAAAATGAGCAAGGCACACAGGCATTAATCCGATGACGTTCATTCCAGGGTCAATATGAAATTCAATTTGGCAAGAACTTTGACCCGAAAGATTTTCCAGTGCAGTTTCGACTCCTAAACAACTTATACAATTTTACAATTACTAATCAAGCTTCACATTGCTACCTTGCTACATTGCTTCATTGCCACATGTCATTGCTACATGGTTGGCAGTCCCGATGGCGCAGAAGATTCTCCACCTGGCGGCGCTAGACCCGGTAGACCCGGTAGACCCGGCAGACGGTGAGATGAAGTGAGATGTGTCGTGAGATGTGTCGTGAGATGTGTCGTGAGATGTGTCGTGAGATGTGTCGTGAGATGTGTCGTGAGATGTGTTGTGTGTCAGTCGTCCCTGTTCATCTCACAGGCCTGGTGCCCCTTGAGGATGCGAAAGCGGAAACGATCCTGTGAAAGTCAAGCAGCGCTGCCGTCACAACAAATTGAAGCGATGCTGCATTGCATGATGCCACCCTGTCAGGTTCTGTCATCTGTCTGTAATCTGTCTGTAAATTTGAGAAAAGATCAGCTTGCCGTGCAACAAGTCTCTTCACACCTTCAAGTTCTTGGCATCCGCATTGAAGGGACCAGGACCTATCGCATTTTAAAATGTTGAACGCGCACTGAAATATGCTGAAATGATGTCAAAATCGTCAAAAATACATGTTCACTAGGATTCATTAGGTATGAAGATGAAAATCTATGAGCATCTAAGAATCTACCAGGCCTTCGTCGCATCCGGGTGACACCAAGCGAATATTGCAATCGACTCCTTCTCCTGTCCCAGCCTTCGCAGGGAGCTCTGTGACAACAAATTTCGAACGAAGATTCATCGTTCACCATCGTTCAGCATGGTTCACCAGTCGACCAGCTGATCAACCAAATGGAGTTTGAGTCGACCAAATCCAAAACTTTGCCAAGACACATGGACAGACTGGACACAAAAATTTGACTGCATCTTTCTGCACTACAACTCAGAATCTTGGCCTGCGCCACCATTGGCCGCGCAAGAATGGTCACCTCGGAATTCGATGCTATTGCAGTTGTCGTGATCGTGACGGGCTCCAGTTTCTCAGCCTTTCTCAGCCTGTCCCTGACCCTAAGGCCCTAAGATCCCTAAGGACACTGCAGGTGTTCCTCGCGGAATGGCCAATTCGGTGTAGCGGAAGCAATTTTCCTGCATCAAAATCTGTGCACAAGAAATATTTCTCCACCCAGGACAAACGGACCACAGCTCTGCAAAAAGATCTTGTGATTCTCGGGATTCCTCATCTCGACGCTGTTCCAGCTCCAAACGAGTGAAGGTTGGCTCCTCAGGCCCAACGTTAGGAGCGTTAGGAGCGTTAGGAGTCCCAGGAGAGAAGACTGAGAAGAGCTGAAGACCTACTCGTCACATCTCGTCACATCTCGTCAGTGAATTTCTGGGTGCCGTGCACAATGTGGCGTGTGTCTTGCGTTCTCCTTGGCTGCCACCTCCGAGTCTGCAAATGAGTGAAAGCAAAATAAAGCAAATGCATAGCTTCAATCCAAAGGCCAGAGTCTGCTAGAGAAACAAAATAGTGAAGAAAACAATCATGTGTCTATTCTGATCATATTCTGTACATTTCATATTATCATATTGTCATATATTATCATAATTTACCATATGTTTATCATATTGTTATCATATATGAGTCATTGAGTCATTAAACATGTGTGTTGTACGTTGTTTTTGCACAAGAGCGGCTGTACCTGGGCACGATCCAGGAGCTCCCTGGCTGTCACCATCTCAGTCTTGCGGTACTTGGTGGCATACGCAGGCACCTAGGGCCGCTGCCCAAGTTGTAAAATGTCGGCAAAATATGGCAAAAATGTTCGAACGGATTTAAACGCTTCATTTTAAACGACCTAGTTACCTACTTTCCACTTTTCGAAGCGTTTCATGTGAAAAGTTCTGAGTTTGAAGCATCATCATAACCACCGCCGCGAACAGAGTCGTAGAAACCTCTCGGCTCCCAGAGAAATTTGGCCTCGGCAGGTGTGTCAGGGTGTGCGAGTGTGTGTTTTGGATGTTAGCATGGGGAAGCAGACCTGCACAACAGTGTCCATGCAAATCTACACACAAAGATCCTATACAAATACAAGGTTTAAAGATGGTTGACAACATGTCTCAACTCAAGGTGTGCATATGTGTCGTGCTCGAAAAGGTGTCCTGATGTGTCCTTTAAAAAAAGTAGTTCAAACAAACCTACACAGCGCACAACAAGGCGTAAAACAAGACAAGCACGTTTCCAACATTTTACAACCATAAACTGTCAAAAAGCATTTGCAGAGCGCTGTCAGCCCAAAGGGATCTTTGAAGTTGACTGATTTGCAATGCGCCCAATGCCCGCTGTACATCGCTGTACAATCGATTTGGGGAGAAAGACTGGACGCTGGGATTCAAATTCGAGAAAGCCAAGGAGTTGGGCTTCGGATAACCGTATGCGTTGTACCCTAAATTGTTCTTGACATGTTTCCACAAATTCACCTTCACTAAGCCAGTCCTGAACGCCGCAGAAACCCCTCAACAACAAAATCCTAAAGCCATACAAGTTCCACACAACGACAAAAGCACGAAAAGTTCTGGTCCGCTCAAACAAAACTTGAAGAAGTATGAAGAAGTCAGAAATTGAGCGCAGACAACGCAAAGAATGAGGTAAACAAATCGGAAAGACAAATTGGAAACAGGACTGCAGACTGCAGAACAAAGTCCTCCTGTTTCAGACCCAGACAGGAGTTGGACCACTCCGAAAGGCCTTCGCGCGGCATGGATCGGCAAACATGAAACTGGGGTCTCTTTGTTCCAGTCCCCAAATGTCCCCTGTCACCAATGCCTCACCAATGCCCTCAAGGACACTAGGATTTCCAGGAAATCCGCCAAGATCTCCCGGCGATTGCCTTAACGGAACATCACAATTCTAGAATTCTTTCTGTTGCCATGTTCTGGGATCTCTGAAATCACACAAGATGTTCCCTTCCGATTCAGAATCTGCAGATTCCAGATTTTCTAAGGCCCCAACACATCAAGGAATATAAACTCTGACAAGAGGGTATAAGGGTCCTGCGTTTCCAGTTCGGAAGCTCTGGATCTTTTGGATACAGGAAAGTCGTTGCCTGCCATTGCCTCAACCTGATTTCAAAACAGCTCAAAGCAATCTTCACTATCTTCATCAATTATGTTCATTCATCATAGTGATACATATTATTTCTATAACTATATATTAACAATTATAAACATATATATCATATATATATACATATAGAGAGGGAGAGAGAGAGATCTTAATTTCAAAGCCACGGGTGATGCAAGTTGCGTCTCAGGTCCGACAATCGCATTGGAGGCAGGTCATCCAGTCGTTGACGTCGACCACTGGGTCCTGGGACGCCCATATCTTTGAGGATTAGAGGATTGGTGAGGCAGAAAACGAGAACAATAACTCGAACGATCTGACATTTGGATGATTTTGGATGATTTTGGATGATTTATGGATGATTTATGGATGATTTGTGGATGATTTGTGGATGATTTGTGGATATAACTGGAACAATGATTGAAAAAAATGTGAAAAGATATGAAAAGAGACCCAGTGACATCCGCTGACCAACTGCACTTCAGCTTGTCACATGACTTGGAGATTCATATTCTGCCTCTGTATCTTTTTGTCATTTTTTGTCACATCGTTCGGAGCTCGTCTTTGAATGGAACGGTCGCTGATCTGTCACCTTTGAACGTGTCCTGTAACGCCATCCTTGCGAAGGTAGTGAGTGAACTCTGTCCACACATCACTCACCTCGCACAAAGCACGATTTAGCACAACACTTTCGCACACTTTCACGACTTTCACGTTACCCCATTTGATGCGAAAGGCGTCAAGCTCCAAACCGGCAGAAAGAGCGGTGGTGGATCTGAGACGCCTTCATGGAACTGTGGAACACTCCATTCTCTCATTGCACCGTTCAGTCTTTGATGTTTTCTATTTACCTTAGATCGCAAGGAGATCGCAAGGAGATTGCATTGCATGGGGTACAAGTTTACGAATTGTCCGAATTGACTGTGACTTTGCAGGTTCTGGTCCCATCTGGTCCCAATTTCAACCGTTGCATTTTGTTTCGAAGTTAGTTTCCGTCCGAAAAGCGCCTGCAAGGCCAACAGCATCAGCTGGTGGCAGCTCGATGTCAGCTCGATTGCCTCAGTCCGGAAAAAAGATCGAAAACGGATTTCAAATGATTTCAAGGATGTCTGGAAATGAAAAACCTTATTTATATTATTTCAATGTTCTTCTTGTTTTCGTCTCACTTCCTGGAATCTACAAAGGCTGTAAAAGGCCTACAGGATCTTGAAGTTAGCATTTTTGTTCAGCTCTATGCAGTAAAATTGCAAAAGGAAATCTTTCAAATCAGAAGGCGCAATGAGTCGAGTTGTCGAGTCGAGTCACCATCAAGATCTATCAAATGAAGCCTTTCCGACACACGTCGGCCATGAAAGCCTGGCAGTCGCAATGCCAATCTCGGATCATCCCACAATAATTCACAATAATTACGAGGTTTCAATATGTTTCAATTTCCACAAACATTTGCATAACATTTCATGTTTCATTTGGAATGCAACAATCAGCATCCATCTTCCCACATCAAGCCAGGTCTTCAATTGTAACTCTCATTTCTTCGAGGTCGTTTGATAGTCACCTCACTGCAGCAAATCAGAGTCACAAAACTGCAGCAGGTTTTCTGGTGTTTGTTTGTATCTGATGTTTCTGCTGTTTCTGAAGTTTTGATCTTTCAATCTTTCAATCTGTCAATCTCAGCTTCTCACCCTCTTTGTGGTCTTTTCTCTTCTAACACTTTGATGCTTGGCGCATATCCTTCACAGCTCTGTCGGTTCACAAAATGCGGCATAGCTTGTAAAAGCACGAAGAAATGAATGGCACAGACATCTTCTCGAAACGAATGGTCTGTTCACGTCGCTCGTCGTATCTCTTTGATGAAAAACTTTGATGTTCTTTTTCTGTCACTTTCTGTATCTTTTTGTGTCACTTGTGTCATTTCTGCACCTGGCTACAAGAATCTCTGCCACGACCAGGGAGCCCTGGACAGGGCGTCTTCGCTTAGAACTAGGAACTCGACCAAAAGAGGTTGGCCGTCGGGTTTCCCGGTTGCGAGGATAAAACATCGTCAGAGGATACAAAGATATACAGTTAGTGTACAATACAAAAACAAAGGCCGCAACAAGTGATCCTATCTGACAGGTTCACATGTCTCGCTTGGCTCGCCTCATGTCGCGTTCCCTGAAACATTCCCCACTGTTGCCACTTCCATCCACTTCCCGTTTCGATCGTTTCGATAAGCCTCGCCACGGTTGTTGCTCTGTCGGGCATAGGGGTCACCAGGCTCTGGCCTCACATGCCCCAAATTCAAACGTCACAATAGCTCGACGCATCCAACAAAATATGTCGTCGGTTTTTTCTACATGCAAGTACATACGTAGTTTGGCAAACTTGGCAAAACGGGATCCATTCGTTCCTCTTCGTTCCTCTTCGTTCCTCTTCGTTCCTCTTCGTCCTCTTCGTTCCTCTTCGTTCCTCTTCGTTCCTTTTCAACGTGTTTAAACTGTCTTTTTGGTCAAATGCCTCGAATGCCTCTGGCCTTCGTAACGCTATCCGTGCACCAAGGGCCCAGCACCTCTGGCACATCATCGGCATCCACGCCAGTGCGCTGCACCACTGCGTCAGCCACTCCACGCAGCTGCGGGTCCGACTTCGCCTAGACCGACCAAAGATCACTGAAGGAGGGACGAGGTGGGACCAGGTGGGACGAATTTTGCGATGCTTTCTGCGCTTTTATCATCTTTTATCTTTATCTCCAACAATTCTCCAACAATTCTCCAACTTTGATCTACTTTGATCGGACACAAGGCTGTCGACATTGTCTCACTGACGATGGTTTTCCACATCCCCTTCACCTTCGCAGTAAGAAGCGGATGGTCTCTAGAATCACGTAGTATAGACATGTATAGACACTATAGAGGTTTGCCTTGCTCGCCTATGTCGCAGGATTCCATCAGAACCAAAGCATCGGGAATCTCGTTTGATCTTTTAGGGTAAGCTCTTCCAAACTCCCAAAAATCACAAAAGATCTCCGCCTGTCGCGCGATCTCAATCCATGCATTCTTGGGCTGCTCAATTTCACCCACTCGCTCACGAAGGCCATCGATACCCGTTGACACCTTTGTTGACTGCTGAAAGCAAGGCAAAGTTGAGTCTTGAGTGCTCTTTCGAGAGGCAAGACTTTGCTGGGAAATAAATCAGATGCTGCGAATAGGTGTTCTTTCAATCACGAGTTCAAGCTAATTCAAGTTGTCAAGAAAGGAAAAGATGGATTAGCCCCAGGCTGTGCAAATGTCGCCACCATCGGCTCCAATGTGACCTCGAATGACCTCAGATTTTGTCAGGCCCTACTGAAGGGGGCTGAAGTGGGGTAAGAAAATTTCAAAAGAGAGCTATATGATCTATATATATATATGATCTATATATGATCCATATGAAAAGATGGGAAAAGATCTGTCTTCGCCTTCGCAGGGGACCGAGTTCTCCGAGTTCCACCTAGGGACCTCCCCTGGGGACCTAAAAACATCCGGAGTTCCGAGTTGTTCCGAGTTGTTCCGAGTTCCGTGCGACGATGTTGGGGAGTTGCTCACCCTTGGCCGCGCTCTCCGAGAGCTCCTCAAAAAGATGCCCAAGTTAGGATTAAACAGGTGCAAATTGTACGAGCAACGTGTTGATAATCTGTTGATAATCTGTTGATAATCTGTTGATAATCGGTTGATACATATTTGCAACCATTGCAACCATTGCAACCATTGCAACCATTGCAACCATTGCAACTTGTCCTTGATTTGGGTGTTGGCCTCGAAAAGGCTTATGATTCGATTGGCCTCTCGAGGCCAACTCTGCAACGCACTGACGTCAGATTTTTGAGTCAAAGTATTTGTCAAAGTATTTGTCATTTGTGAATTCAAGACCTTACGAATGGTTCGGAATGCTTTCGTGAAATGTGTGAAACATTTTGAAACTGGAATACAGACTTTGTAAAAAATGTGAAATTAAAAAGGAATCTCTCTATGATCTCTATATCAGCTCTATCACTCAGGTCAATACAAAAAATTGTCCTGCCTCTCGGCGGTATCTGTACACCGAGTAGATAGCGTAGAAAAGCACCAGTACTCCAGCTGACATTCCTGCAAAAAAAAAGTTCAGACGTGTTCAGACGAAGTTCTATCTTCGATTGAAAGGTGTTGAAGCTCTATGAGTCTATCAGGGCCTGTCACTCTGTGAATGACTGCAAAAACTGTAGATTCATGTAGATTCAGTAGAGTCATTAGTCATTGTTTGATGGAAAAAAATATCTGTGTTAGTTTCTGCGACTGCGAAGTACTTGGCCTATCGGGTCAGGGTGGCCAATGCCATTGCTACGCACCTCAGGCAATGAAGTAGCGATGGCGATTTCAAATCGGAGACTCGACATGACAAGGGTGCAACAAGGAGTCAGAAAAAGCAACGATTCGAAGTGTTGGTTCAATGTAGCAATGTAGCCCAACCATGCCCAACCATGTTTATCTGCATCTCTTCGAAGGACGGCCTGCTCCAATAACCTCAGTGTCTGAGGCACGGACGTTGCTATAAGGTAGTGAGCCTCCCACAAATCAACATCCACAGCTGGCATGTGTTTCCATGATCCACCTTTGACATCATTTGACATAATTCAAGAACATTCAGGATATGTCGACATCAATGACCAACCTGGTGAGGTCTTCGGCATTGAAATGCTACTGTCCTCACCATGGCTGAAAGATTTCTGAAAAATTTCGTTCCATAGACATTCCATGACGTTTCCATGTAGCTCGATGTGGCAGTCCTGAATGCTCTCGAGGCTCTGGCGTTGAAAGTCGCCGAAACCTGAGATGCAACCGGATGCCACCAGGACAAAAAAACGATGCCGCAACTCCGCAACTCCGCCAGCAAAATTTTGCCAAATTTCTTCCGAATTCTGTCGGCACTGCCTTCAGCCGCGACATCCCACATCCTCTTCAAAGGGACCTATCACTGCCGTCACTGCCCATACCGCCTCTTTTGATCCTGTCTTTGCAGAGTTCGTGCCAGGGGATTCTTCCAAGCTGCACAAAGCGGCGCAAATCTCCAATTCCTCAAAGGTCGATTCATGAAGAGGTCTATGCTTCGAAGCCTCGTCTCAGAGTTCGAAATGCTCTCTTCCCTTCTGACACTTCTGACCCGCCTTGGTAAGATGTTTAACTGATTCTCAGTTGATCTCAGTTCCTCTCCTTCCAAGAGTTGCCATTTCAGTGAGCTGGACAGCTGGACTCTGAGCTTTGGATCTCGTTCCACGAAAATCACGAAACTTTCTGAAACATCAAAATGTTCTGAGTGCTCCATGGCAAGGTGCCATATGGTTGTTCCACGTCGTCGCAATCCGCGGAGCAGCTACTCTTGGCACAGTCGAACTGGTCGAAGAACTGGTCGAACTGGTCGAAGTGGTCGTCTTTCGGTGTGTCTCATTCGCGTGATGCGACCTGGTCGAGGTGCTTGTGGGGTACATCCCGCAGCAGCGCGCTCAACCTGTCACATTAAAGTAATAAAATGCAACAAAATGCAACAAATGTTCAAAGAACTTCAAAGAATTTCAAAGATATTCAAGTTGTATTCAAGTTGTGTGCAGTGACAATCGATAACCTCAGTGAGTTCTAAGCTTCTCCAACTCAGCACAGCCTCGACATAGAGTCGTCTGCATAGCCGCAAGCCACGCCCACCGGTAGCCCACCAGTACCTCTGAATTTCTCTGAAGCACAGGCATCACAAGCTTCAAAATCAAAATCTTCAAAAATGTTCAAAGATGTTCAAAGGTTGTTGCAGTCGTCTTCAGTTTCACCCGGCTCAAGCGAGGAATTGTGAGGCTGCAAAGCGAGAAAGCTCCGTTTCCTCAGGATTCGGCGTAGGCTCAGGCTCCGACCTGGGGCTTTGATGCACTCGACGTGTTTTGTTGGCACAGAGAGAGAGAGAGAGAGAGCGACTCCCGTGACTCATGTTTGATGTGTATTGACTGATCTCATTTGTCAATGGCTTTGCTGGAAAAGCACTTAAAGCAAAGCCAGAAAACGATGCGCAATCGGAAACTCAAAAAGTTGTTTCATCAATTCAGTCATCGGTTCAGTCAGCGGGGCCTTTGGAGGGCATAGCGGGCTGATGATCGAAGGTGCTGCCGGGCAGCATCTCCTTGTGGCAAAATCATTCCGTTAGAGACTTTTCATTGAGATTGTTCAGTATGTTCAGTTGCACTGCAACGGTGACAGAATGTGACAGCTTGCAACACCCTTGCCAAACCATCGGGAACATCTGCCAATTTTGCCATATCATATCTTAATGGTTTCAGCAAAATTGCCCTACGCTAATTTTCCGTCTTCCATGCTGGACAAAAATGCGAAACATCACATGTTTCTTGGACGAGAGTCGAAGCCCCACTGGGACAGACGCGGCGCTGCCCAAAAGAAGCGAGAAGATTTCCCGCGCACCATCGCCCAAGCAAAGTCTGCGACCGACACATGTTCAAAGATGCTCAAACATGTTTAAAGTCCAATGAGTGTCCACCAATAGTGACAACAAAATACAACAATATGTTGTCTCGAAGACAAGGTCAGACGCTTAAAAAGCGATTGATGAGACTGACACTTGTGTTTCCAAGAGACGAAGCAGAACAGCAAATTGGAGAAGACATTGACAAACACTCGGAAGATCGAAGTACGATGAGGCACAGAGAGGTTCACCATGATGAAATGAGCATCACAGGGAAATACGGTCGCTGAGACTTCAAGAGGAGCTGCAGGAACTACTTGAGCAGTGGCCTATGGGATCCTATGGGCATAATTTTTTCATGAATAATAGCAACCTCCAACCAATTATGGATTCGAACCACAGCTGATTTGGAGGACCCCCTTTCTCCAGGTCACACATTGCGAAGGGCGTGGCAAAGAAGTGGCTTCCCTGCTGAATCACAGGCAGCTGCATCTGCTGCGCTGTTCAGGAGCAGTTGAACTGCTTCAACATCGCCATGAACCTTAGGACAACATGAAATGACATGAAACAACCCGCTGAAAGAGCCGTCTGTTTCAGATCACTTTTCACGATCAACGCAGATATGTTCACTGGATGAAACAAGTTAGAGACACTGCTAGAAACCCTATCCCCCCAAACACACTCCAACGCAGAGAGGGGAAGGAGCAAAATTCCGCCATCAAAGAAGATCAATCTCCACATGAAAGACTTGAAGAGTTCAAGGTCCAGGCCATAGGGATGTGTAGGATTGGGCGCGTCACTGCCTGCTGAATTGGAATTTGATCCTTTGATATCCTTTGGTCTCTGGCACCATCTCTGTGTCATGCCATGAACTCATCTAAATCTGTCCATATCTGTCCATTGTCAAAGTCTGGCTACTTGTTTCTATCCTGTTTCTTTTGTAAATGTGCTGCAAAAAGAAAAAAGTAGAACAGGCAGAAAAGATCAGAACAGTTTTGCTGCCTGGATATGGTAAGTACAGGCAGCTGGAGCACCCAAAGGCCATCCCAAATTGCAACTCGCCAGCATCTGTACCAGGCTGAGGCAACTCCTTCGGCGGTCTGGCCGATGCCTTAGACGCTTTCAAGAGCAAGAAGAGAAGATCAAGGAGAGAAGCGGCAGAAGCAGTAACAGCTTCAACATGTTTCATTCAGATTCAGCATGAAATTTCGGAAAATGCTTCTCTACCTTGTGTTGCCACCTCCAATGTTCATGGCATCGAGTAGCTGCAACCGTCCAGCTGCTTCCAGTGCTGCACCCAAGGCTATGCCAGTGAACTCCTGTGCAGAGTCACAGCTGGATACTTGCCGCGCTTTTGCCTTTGCAAAACAGTCTCAGTCCTGCCTCAATTTAACCGTTTAACCGTAGTTTAACCTCATGAAACCACTGAAACTCACCACGGACAGTCCAGATCAGAGATTGTCTGGTGGGGGCTACCGCGAGCCAACAGAGACCAAGCAAAGTCTAGATCCTGCGGCAAAGATCGCACTTCACCGGGTTAGTCTGAAGCCGAGTAGAAAAACAACTTGGTTGGAAGATCAAGAGACTCGAACGAAATGTAACGAATAGATCTTCGAAATGTAACGAGAATAGTAGCAAATATCAGAAAATCGAAGATCTCAAGGTCTGGCGCTGCGCACTGAGAAGCTGCTCCTTGGGCTCTGCATAGCGAGCCTCAGACCATCCGAGGAAATCAGTAGAAATCAGCAACCGTGTCTGCGGTAAACCCAACAATATCATAGAAATTCATAGAATATCTACCAGTTGGGGATCATTGTAGCAATATTGGGGCTGGTGTATTATTGCGTTTACCATATCATCTCGTTTGCATCTTTGCAGCTCGTATGGTTCCTACATCAGCCTGCCTCGCTACCCTTCAGGATCCCAAGCACTCAAATATGAACATAAAATAAATGAGAACCGATGAGAAACGATGAGAGACGTTGAAAATTCAACATGGTTCCAACATGACAAAAAGTGTGAACTTAAAGTGTGTTTCACAGCTTCTTGACATTTGTTGACACTGAAACAAACAGCACGTGTGTTTAACTTTGTGTTTTTCACAAAATTCACAAATTTCACGCAGCTGAGGGACGTAATTCACCAAGTGCCATCCCTCCGAGGGTCGCTCAGCTGCGGCGCTGCGACGTGCCACTAGGGGAAGAGCTTGAGCCTGACATGCTGTGCTGTGGAAACCTCACATGCCATACATTGATAGCCTTTTCTGAGGAAACAACAAGGTTGAAAATATATGGAAAATATATAAAGAGTATTGAAGAGTTTGAAACATGTCGAAACTGATGTTCCAAATCAGCTACTCACACGTCTGTGTCCCCGACAACTTGCAGCGATGTTGTGGTGAATCGCGTCATGTCTGAAGGCAGCAGAAATGGAAGCAGCGCATCGCGGAGAATCTCCAGGAGATCCATGGCCCAGGCCAAGTCGTTGACCAAGTTGAGAGCCCATCTGCCCAAGTCGCACAAGTCGCACAAGTCGCACCCTCGCCCTCCCTTTGCACTTGGGATCTACAAGCACTGCCATCTGAGCCGCTGAGCATGAAGCGTCATGATGGCGTCATGCACTCATATGCACTCAAAACCACTCAATTTATCTGCATCCTACATCCCTTCCTAGCCTTGCTAACTCATTTCTCCTGACTCGTTAAAACCGTCCAGCTTCCTATAGAATGTTTGGAAACAAGACGTTCCCCTCAAAGAAACAGACTTGAACTGAGTGCCAAACGCTGGTCTGGAAATTCCAGCTGGCCCCGGAGTCTCAACGCCTGGACAGAAAGGAAGTGAGTCAAAGAGCTGAAGCATTCGAAGCATTCGAAGCATTCGAAGCATTCGAAGCATTCGAAGCATCGTCCATTTCGTTCATTTTCATTTGTGCTCCGCTGTGCACATCGATTTGGAAAACGGTGCCTCATCGATCCCCATTTTTGGAAGCCATCTCTGAAGTAGGTCTGTGGATTTCAGAGCAGAGACATAGACCAAATCCACAGCCAAGACGAAAAGCACCTAGTGGTCACATGTGGTCACACCCACGTTTTCAAGCTGTTTGAAGTCCAGTTTTGGACGAAAAGTTTCACCTTTCACCAAGTTCCACTTCGTCTCAGGCATCGACCCTCCAAGATTTCATATACCTAGGCCCGAGCAGGCCAACGCCTTAGCCACGCCATGCCACACCCTTCAGCTCTGGACACGATCCAATGTTTTCTTAGCTAACTGGTTGAACTATTCCATGCGAATCGGACGAAATATGACGAAATGAGGCTCCGGCAAAAAACTATTGACTTGGTTCAGTATCTGATGATACCAGCCCGGTGGGGTATCGGGCCAGACTGCGATCAAGAGCAAAAGGTCAAAATCCAAATCAGGATATTGCACAATCAACTTGTCCGATGTTTACCATCCCAAAGTTTGTAAGGGCTTAGCCACGTCAGTTCCAAGGGAGTTGGAAGTTGACTTGCTTTTTTCGGATCTACGATGATCTAAGATGATCTAAGGTGATCTAAGATGATCTAAGATCCGGGCCGCAGCTCTCTTTTTCCATTGAAACCCAAGCTTGGAAGCTGCAACGCTCATCACTTCCGTGAGGCTTTCAGGAATGTCATCGCATCTCTCTCATCACGGAACACAAAGTTCTCTCGATGGCCACAAACAGGCTCATGACGGTCCTCAGTCAGGGTAACACATCTCATCTTTTCAGGCAATGCATCTCCTCTTCATTCCTTTTCTGGGGTTTTGTGGACTGACAATGAATGACAATGACATATATCGTTATCAAACGCCTGTGTAGCTGTTCTGAATTGTTCTGAACTTGTTCACATTTTCAGTCACCCACGTGATGTAGGTTGCGCGCATCCTGCGACAGGCGGCAACTGGGCCCAATTTGTTGCCAAAGATCAAAACAGATCCTTACATCTCACAAGAAATATACAAGATCCATCGAAAGTGGACCCAAAAGCAAAATGGAAATCCGAGAAATGGGAAACCTTGGGAAACCGGAAACATCCAATACTGGGGTGCACCAGATATCCCAGGCAAACAGGGCAAACAGCTGTGGCATTCTTTTGGCAAGTCTGGTTGTTCCATCAAGTCTCCTGCAAGCATAGACTATTGCAAAGATTTTTTGCAAAGAGGTATTCCAACATGAGAAGCTATCGTATGACAAATAAGTGACACCATGTGACACCCAGAGAGAAGTCACCCTTGTGGCTTATCTCACGGGCTCACGGGAATGAAATCAATTGCTTCAATTGCTTCAATTGGCACTGTGTCCGAAGGATCCGGTGGAGGCTTTTAGAATTCCAAGGGGAGCTTCAGAGCTGCCGAGCGATAGAAACGATCCAGCAACATGATGACGTTTAAACCGTTTATATATATATATGTGTGTGTGTGTAACGACGTATACGCCAACTGTAGAATTAAAAGGGGTGTGTGTGTGTGTGGGAAGTACATATGTGAAGAAACAAAGTGCTCATAGAAGTTCACAGTTCAGGAATGGCCCATCTCCCTCAATATCCCTCAATTCAAAAGCCTCTGTGCATGCGCACTCTATATACACATGCCCAAGGCATTTGGAAAAACATACTCAACCCGGGGCACCCGAAACAGGAACACGAAACTGGTGACCAGCCACCAAAAGACGGCTGCTTGGCCGCTTGGCATTGTGGAAAACTTTATTGCCTGGAAAACTGTGCGATTTGCGGTGAGGCATCCAGGGAAGTCCCATGAAACATCCCAGGAAGTCCCAGACAAACATAGTGACATAGACATCACAGACATCAAGGTGGCTCAGTCAGAATATAACGACAACCAACAACGGCGTCTGTGTCTTGCGACGACAGAATTCTTGCCGAGATCAGGCAAAATCAGGAGCATGCATGTCCTTGCAGCAGGCTGACGCATGCTGGTTCAATGGAAAATAGGCCATCACATCAAGGACCAAGTATGTGGCCAACGAGAGTCAGATTCTCAAGTCAAGGCTGCTGTATTTCATTAACATATATGTATATATATATACCCAGAATATTACATATGATATATCATAATATATCATATGTGTATACGTGGATATCATTGCATGTCAAGATTATTGAAACTGGTTTCAGAACTGGCTTGTCCTGGTATTAAGAATCTGAATGATTCAACTTCCACCCTGAACAGCAACAGGCTATACCACTCTTGGCTCACAAGCGCAAATAGTTTCCAGTGACCTCGCTGCAACAAGGTTCAGAAAACGATGCAGAACGTGAGTCAAAGAGTTTTAAACTTGAGAAAACTGCAACATCAAGATCATCAAGGCCCAATACATTGAATACATTTGAAGGCCATGTTCGACATATTCAGACATATTCATGATCTTCAAATGTTCAGAATGAGTTTAGGACATGTGATGTTACGAGATGTGTATTAAATTAGGACATGTGTATAAAATGTCTAAATTATTCTAAATTCTATCAATTGTTTATTGAATGTTGACCTGTTCACATCCGATATTCCCTTCGCCTTCCCTTCCCCTTCACCTCCTCAGGACAACTTCCCAAAGGCCACAGGGGTGGCATCTGCGAGAGCCGCACCTCACGGTGGAGGTCAGGTGGATTTTCATCAAACCTTACAGCAAATTTACCTGGATGAAAGAGGATGAAACAGGATGAAACAAAGAAAAATGACATCCAGCTGACATTGCCAAAGTTTGTGAGAGGTTGAACACAACTCTATTTGCAGCTGAGCTCAACTCAGTTCAACCTGAAATAAGAGGTGGTTTCAATGCCAAGCTTTGCCGGGCCACGTATGCTGGCTCTGAAGACCCCGGAAGTGGGCAAATAGCTGGGCAGATAGCTGGAGAACCCTCGGTTGGAGAGATGATGTGAAACATTTTGAAACATTTTGAAACATGATTGATGTAAAATTGATGTAGAACATTATTTAGAACATTATGTTAAACATATTAAAACATGTCGTAAGGAATGGCATGGAATGGCAGAATATGCAGTACAACTTGCACTATGGCTTGAGATTCAAGGTCTACAGAGTCTACTGTCATCCGTGCATAGCACTCATATCTGTGTCCATGCAGGCAAGGTGCAGAGTTAGAGGAAGCAAGCGATGCCAATGACGCTAACGAACCAAAGGATGTCCTCACTCACGTGAAGCGACGTGTTGCAGATGATGTCTGTTGATGTCTGTTGCCGGGGATTTCCTCATCTTTCTCCATGTTTCTCCATGTTTCTCCACTGTCCTCATGCCTAACGTAGTGGCTCCATCAACACTGGCTGCTGAAGCCTTGCGACAATGTCCCATTCGAGCTGTAGAACCATCAAAACCTTCAATACCAAACACAATACCGTTAGTAAATGAAACAACATGGAACAACTGGAAGCGAAGGACTTAAGTTGTCAACTTGAGGCCCGGGTAAGGGATGAAAGCTAGCTTGGCAGAGAACTTGGCATAAAAACACAATGATGCTGAAAATGTGAATGCTGCTGAATTTACTGCCGGTGGCGACATGCCGACGGTGTCCCTCGGGGGGATTCAGCCACGGCCAAACTGCTTGTGAACCAGCCAGCCAGGGAGGGGGGGGCTATAAACGGTATAACTATGAAGTTTCATGCGATTGGAGATTCCAGCCCCCCAATACCTTGCTAAAGCAAGAGGGACTTCAGCTAGCAGCTAGCAGAAGCTAGCTTTCGTGATAAGAAGCTACACACTCCAGGGGTGTTCCGAGCCGCAGTTTCGCTCAGAATCATTTGGAGTATATACAGTATATATATTCCATGAGTTTCTAGATCCGAATCTCTGGTCTTTGTCAGTGGTAAGTTTGAGATGCAAAGTTTTGAACACCAAGGAGCAATTGGGCCGTCCATTCGAGGATCACAGCCTTCCACCTAAAAGCCAGATCAAAGTTGATCAAAGTCACATCGGAAAAAGCAGTGGAACGGGATTCACCTCTCTGCAAGCTGTGCCAGTTGTAAAATGTTGTAAACTTTACGTAGGCGCGATGGACGTTCTGAGTTGTCGGCAGACGTGAACCCCCGAGAAAGGGCAGCTTCAACCTCCAGAACCTCAGCCACAGCAGCGAACCCACAGGGCGCTCCCCCTTAATAAGGCTTCGGAAGAGGCGCCACTCTGGGAGCTCGCACTGACAGGACCTCGGGAATACGACCTGCCCCGATCGGCTCAGATCTGGTTGCGGAAAGAGATGGAAAAAAGTGCGTCAAGTGACAAAGCAAGGGAAAGCTGGGGAAAGCAAGGGTTCGTAAGGGTTCATAGTGTTCTTAAAAATCCTCGCAATGTCAACTCCGCCCGAAAGTTCCCTTCCAGCCTTCCACAGCGTCTTTTTGCTCCGCAGAGACCTCACCAGTGCAGTTTTTGGTTAACAAAACCTACATCGACTTACCTCCAAGCCAAGGTTCTCGGAGAAGAAAATGACTGGGAGGTTGATGCAGTTGAAGTAAAACACAATTTGCAACCAGTCAAATTGTGTAATGTGTTGATATGTGTTGTATGAAAAAGAAATCATGGGTGGCGGAGGGCCAGTCACAAACTGCACAGGGCAAACCATCCATTGGACATCCGGGTAATCCGGGTAATCCGGGTAATCCGGGTAATCCGGGCAATCCGGGTAATCCGGGTAATCCGGGTAATCCGGGTAATCCGGGTAATCCGGGTAATCCGGGTACCAACCTGGCTTAAGCCAGAAAGAGCGTACCATTTCTTTCCACTGAATTTCAGACACTTCAAAATAGCATCACAAAGACCTGTTACGGCCTCGAGACATCTCATGATGCCCTCGATATTCCCCTGGGTAGTTTTCTGTATGGAATCTAACCCGAGCTCTCGAAGCTGTGCTGTCAAAATCCTTGTCCTGTGTAAGCTGCTCAAGCTGTTTGACAGTTAAGCCTTGATTTACTGATTTTACAGCCAGTCTAAGGCAGTCTAAGCTTTGACTTTGTCTTGACTCTTGATGCTTTTGATGGTTTTTTGGACATGTAGAAGGCCACTCACGTGCCACTCACCTAGCCTTTTCGGGACTGAGGGCACCGCCAGTGCTGGGCGGGCGCACTGACGGCGCACTGGGCGTCCAGACGTGGCGCTGCTCTTCCGGTCCGTGAAAAAAGGCACACTGGGGTCCTCGAGGGCCTCACAGCAACACACGTTGAGACGATGTTTCGGGGAATCCAAGTGGAATCCAAGTCATTTATCCAAGTCATTTCATTCTCATTTCAAGCGTTTCCTTCATAAATCTTTACAAATCACTTGCACTACGCGCTTCGCCTTCACTTCTGCCTTCTATGGATTCTATGGAGCACAGCTTCTGCATACGAGTAAGGCTTATGAGTACTTACGAGTAAGGTTTGTGTGTAAGGTTTGTGTTTGGCAGTTCTAAGCAGGGCACAAGTGCCCGAGCTCGCCCAGTCAGTGCAGGGCATCCTGAAAGACTGAACTGCGTGCGATGAAAATTGCGATTCTGCTACGACTCTGATTATGTAGAATTTACGATACACATCTAATCTGTGCAAATACATAATAAATACATATCTGTACAAATAATGTACAAATAATGTACAAATAATGTACAAATAATGTACAAATAATGTTTATATAAATACATATAAATACCTGCCTAGATATACACTTACCGGATTACTGCAAATGACTGCATGATCACTGGATACACAACGGCAGAGACCGAACTCGGAAATCCACAACCCACTAAGCAGATTGGGTTACAACTCGCAACATCAATGCCAAGCAACGTCTTGTAGTAGAGAGGATGATATAACTGCTCCTCGCACAAGGTCTTGTACTTAAACAGCATGGAATGTTGCTCGCTGAGAACAGGCTGCTGTGATGAGTACC